TGGTGCCCGACGCTGAGATGCCTCAGCGAGGTGTCCATGATGAAGTGGACAATGCCGGTGGCGCACTGACGCCCGAGGAAAGAGAACGCCTCATTCTGGAACAATTCCCGTTTCCAGGAACTCCGAACACAGAGGCAGAGCGCCGAGCGGCGTGGAGATCGTTACCGCAACGAGTCCGGGTAGCTATAAGGCGCCTGCGCCGATCGTTTGGCCATCTGCCAAACGCAGTCCTGATACAGGTTCTGAAGCAGGCCCGGGCGAGCAAAGATTTCATCGCCGCTGCCGGACTTTACAAGTGTAAAGTCTGCCTGGACACAGCTCCAGTGCCCAGGCACCACCCTGTCGCAGGGGATAGCGTGTTTCCAAAGGAATTCAACCATACGATAGGAATGGATGCGCTAGAGGTCAAGGACTTCTTCGGAAATCGCTATACTGCTGTTAATATAGTTGACATGGGAACCAGTTTCCAGCAAATTGTGCTCGTGAAATCTGGAGGTGGCAATCCAAGTGCCCGCCAGTGTGTGAAATGCCTGATCGACAGGTGGATCAGCTGGGCTGGACATCCCAAAGTCATAACCACTGACAGAGGGACGCATTTCAGGGGAGAATTCTCAGAGTATTTGGCACAGCATGGTATAATCCATAAGAACGCTCCCCTCGAGAGTCCGCAGACTATTGGAAAGGTCGAACGTCATGGTGGACTTGCCAATTCAAGGCCATCATTAGGAAAGTCGCGCAGGAGACTCAGCCCTCGAATATCGAGGAGATGGAGGCGGTCGTTACCGAGAGTGTCACTACTAAGAACGAGCTTAGTAGGCACCAAGGGTTTAGCCCAGCACAACACGTGTTGGGAAAGCAGCCTCGAACACCGGGTTCCGTGCTAGATGAATCCGAAAGCCTTGGTACATTGTTCACCAAGTATGATGAGACGAGCGTATACTACATTCGGCACAGAGCACGGCAGGAGGCCAAAAAGGCCTTTGTTCATTTAGAGACTTCCCGCAAGGTGGCCAAAGCGTTACAGCGTAGTGCAGCCCCTCTATAGACACTGATTACAAGGTTGGTGATTTAGTTATCTACCGTCGGGACAACGTCCCTGGCAGCCCAGGTGTCGTGTGGTCCACGGTTAGCCGCGTCATAGGACGTGAGGCAGAGAATGCGTACTGGGTATTACACGAGAATATCCCTGTGCTTGTGAACGCTAGGAAGATGCGCCCAGCTGATGAAATCGAAGTTGCAGCGCACCGCGTTTTGGCAGGTGAACCAGTGCTTCCGGAAGCCATCGTACATGGGCCGGAACAAAGGTTCCAGGATGAGCGCGTAGCGGATCCGGTCACAGCACCAGCGACGCCACGTCCAGTGGCCGTAGCTGCCCCGCTTACACCGGCAGTCGCGCACGATGTGCCTATGCCAGCACCATCGACGCCAGCGATGATGCCCGGCACACCGATGCCAGCGCCATCTACCCCTGCAAGGTTTCGCGCCAAAGATAAGACGGGCGAAACCGCCCGGTCGCGATCGCCAGTAGGAGGCCGTGATGACGCACTAGTTGCGGAAGAGCTTGATCAAGTAGAGATCATGGCAAAAGGCCTGATAGATGCTCAGGGTTTCTCTCCAGATGAGTGTCTGGCCCTCCTTCGCGCTTATGACCGCGACCGACGCGAGGCGTACACGCGCCCGCTCCTAGATGATGGAGATCCCGGGAGCATAGCCCTCGCGGTGGGAGTATATCGGCACGGTGGTCTTGTTGGTGTCTCTGGACCAACGCGCGAGAGACCGTCGTTCGCCATGTACCTCAACCACTACCTCTTGCATCACAGTATGCAAGCCGGCCACCATCTTCCACAGTGGAGTAGCGTTCAGCTTACCAACAGAGGCGCAGAGGCCCATAGAGACCTAGCGAACACTCCTGGCTCGTATAACTACACTATAGGTGTGGGCGAGTATCGTGGAGGCGGCCTATGGGTGGAAGAAACCACGGGTACAACTCCCGTGCGTGTTGGAAACGCGACAATGTATGGCACCATCCATGATACTAAGAACAAGGTTCTTAAGTTTCGCCCGAAGGACGTGCACATGGTCGCACCGTTTGTAGGAGAAAGATACAGTCTCTCCGCATATACGGTGAGTGATCTCGGCAAGTTGTCTAAAGATGACATACAGCTTTTGTCGGATCTAGGCTATCCCATATATAGGGATGCGCCCAACACCTTTGGCAGGAAAAGCGATGGGATATATACCATGGGTCACTCTGATCTTCCCATCGAGACGTTCCTAGAACGCATTCACGAGTACGGGATTAAGGAAATCGTAGATTGCAGAAGCCACCCGTACAGCGTTCGGCATCCACAATACAATTGCGATGAACTTTCTGCCACATGTTTTGCAAAAGGAGTTGTGTACAGTCACGCCCCCGAGTTAGGCAATAGGAACCGGGGCGGGATTGAAGCCAACCTGCAAACGGACCAAGGGCTCTGTACGATCGCTAGAATAGTTAGCGAGGCTCACGATGACTTTCACCGAATACTTCTGTTGTGTTCGGAGGCCAGTTGGCGGCGATGCCATCGGCGAAATATCGCCCAGCACATATGGCTCGAGCATTCGAAGCTTGCGGAGCACATACGTGCTAGCGGACTGCCAGAAGCCCATCCGTGTCACTACACTCCTGAGGAGGACGACGGACTGGCAGCAGCATCGCACACAGCTGCGATTGGCACGACAGTGCCAGCAGTTGAGCCCTCGGATAGTCGCGAGGCGGAATCCAAGGCCTTTGCTCTCACCCCTGATGGGGAAGACGCCGTCGGCTCTAACGTCGATGTTGGCTATATGGCCTCGCTCCTGGACTACCATAAGGCCCCTGTAGAGGTACAGTTGGGCCTGGATGCTGCCATGAAGACTGAGTGGCAGAAGTACACCGAATTCAACGCGGTGGTCCCTTGCACAGACAAGGAGTTTAAGGAGCTTACAAAGGCTGGCCACGTGTGTATCCCCACCAAATGGGTTCTTACCGATAAGAATGAACACCTAAAGGGGACAGCAGCATACACTCCCAAGTGGAAAGCACGCTTGGTCGCATGTGGAAACTTCGAGCATATCTCGAATGAGGAGGATATCAGGGCAGATAGCCCCACGGCCGAGCCGGAAGGTATAGCCCTTCTGTGTTCATGGGCGGTTTCGTTGGCCCTGCGGCTCAAAGCAGCCGATATAACGAACGCATACTTCCAAGGGAAACCCCTTGAGCGCCTCCTCATTCTTCGGGTTCCCAAACACCCTAAGGGTGTGCCCGATGCAGAAATTCAGCGAGCCGGGTATATGATTGCCCGAGTACCCGTGTACGGCACCACCGACGCGGGCCGGAACCTTTACCTCCGTATAAAGGAGAGTTGCCGAGAATTTGGCTTAAATGCCTCGCAAATTCTGTCAGCCCTGTACTATATTACAGGAGAAGGTGGTCGTTTGTGCGCTTGCTTGTGCACCCACGTGGATGATTTCCTGTGGGCTGCTACCGCCGAAGGCGAGCCGGCTATCCAGAATCTGCTGGATAAGTTTAAGATCGGTCGCATAGAGACTGAGAAGTTCCGTTTCTGCGGACGCGAGTATGTGCAAAGCGCCGATGGGACCATCAGTATAAACTGTAGGGACAACACGCGTGCAATTCGCCCGATCGATATACATAAATCTGAAAAGGGCACGACTCCAGTCTCGAATGGCCAGCGCACAGCGCTGAGATCCGTCATAGGATCGCTGGCTTGGGTGGCCCGCGCCACGAGACCTGATCTTGCCTATAGGGTGAATGCCCTGCAGCAGCGTGTTACGACAGCCACGGTGGATACGCTCCGTGAAGCAAACCGCGTAGTAGCACTGGCGTTAGGAGATGCGGATAGGCCGATCACGTACAGCGCTAAGTTACCCGGCGGTCGTCACGTTTTGCGACGCCTCCTTTGCAGGAGAGGCGAACCATAAGTCGCAGAGAGGCCGTTTCCACTATTTCACTTCCGCACAGTCGGCGGTGGACAAGAACGCGCCAACGCATGAGATGCACCTCATTTCGTTTTCCTCGTCCACCATGAAACGGGTTTGTCGTGCCACACTGCAGTGTGAGGCTTACTCGTTGCAACATGCCATAGAGCATGGAGACCGCATTCGAGCAGCAGTACTCGAAGTACTCGGCAAACTGCCCCGGTCACAGAACTGGGAAGAAGTCGCCAAGAGATCGATGTTCCACCTGCAGTATACGGACTGCAGGTCCCTTTCGGATCACTTGACAGCGTCGATTCCAAAGTCCTGCGAGGATAAACGCCTTGCCATTGAGATGTCTGGACTTCGCCAAGGACTCTGGGAGGAGGACGAGCTAACGCACGTCCTGTACCATCCCTGTGGCGACGAGTTGAGATGGATACCGACGCATTTACAACTTGCGGATTGTCTCACTAAGAGTATGAAACCGCTTTTGATCAATCACAGCATTGATCGCAATCTCGTACAGGTACTCGATGTGCCCGCGCAAGCCGCACAGAATACCGAGAGTACCGAAAGCACTCCGCTTCACGATTGAAGAACTCAGCCTAGAGCCTTGAGTCGCCGCACTCGGCTCGGTTGACTGCGCAAGCTCCCGGTATAATCCGGTGAAGTAGGTTTGGTCCAAAGCGACCAAAATTCGAGCATGATTCGGACGTCACACTACAGATAAGACGGGTGTGAAATTTCCCTGTCTTGAAGAGCCGTGTTGACATGTCCTCATGCGAGCGTAGTCTTCATGTTTAGTTCTGAATGCACCCTGTACGACAGACGTCTTGGGCTCAGACCAAAAAGTGTGCTCGTTGTGTGGTTGGACACTCACTAATCCAGTTCCTGCTTCAAAAGTTCATTCTGCCGGACGCTTCAGGCATTGCGGAAAAACTGTAGACTGCGATCATTGGACATCCGAGTACGGTGCCCAGCTAGCAGTATCAACCTGTGCTGCATGTACTCGAGTAGGGGATGTGGCTGAGGTGAACCGCATGCGGGACGACGCGGTGAAGCACCTCTTTGAGGCGACAGCTTTGATTCAGAGCTGTTAAACTGAGATGCCCGGCCGAAGGGATCCTGCGTGCAGCTTTCCTTTCCTGCGCCCTGCCTTTTTTTCGATGTCCAGGCCCTGCTGACGAACACCCACCTGCAAGAGCTGGACTGTTCAGGCTGTGTTTTTTTATGGGAAATTCTGCAGGTGCAGACGAGCGGGCGAAGCTGTTCCAAGCAATTTGTTTCAATGCTGGAGGCAATAACATTCGAGATGATGCCATGGAGTTCGTGGCAGAGGCCCTCGGCCAGGGCATGGGGTGGGCTGGCAGCGTTGGGGGGCAGGTCATTTTGCAGAACAAGTTCATCACCAAGCTCAGTTTCGAGGCGATATCCCTCCAGTGCCACCAGCTCGTGCTGCGCGATTGCATGCAGGACAACTACTTCACCGATGAGGCTGCAGAGGCATGGCCAAGCCTAAACACTCGCACTACGCCTTAGCCCTTCCCGAGCTTGAAACAATAGCTCGCAACAGCTCTCAAGCTTCCGGTTGTTGCATCGCCCAAAGTGCTTGCAAGTTGTAGCTACTTTGTCGAGCAGGTCTTCTTGAAACTTCTGCAAAAGGCAGAGCACCTCTCGATGACTGAGGTGTGGCCAGTGCTCATCGTTAGCTCAGAGATATTCGCGCGAAAGAACTCGTGCGACCTTTGCAGCCACGCATGTGGGGTCTTGGCCAGTTTGGCATCCATAACAACTACATCTCCGAGATCAAGCTTCAGCAGATTGATCTGCCATTGCCCTCAGACATGAGAATTGATTGAAGACGTGACACAGGCTCCCGAATATAGTCAACAGGTGTGATGGTCTTGACTCATCTCGAGGTTCATGCGCACTCATGCGCGTGAGCTGCAAAAGAAGAAGCGCGAAAACAAGAGACAAAGGCTCGAGATCAGCTGCTTCTGAAGCAAATCGGAGCATGTGTGCCCAATGAGGAGCCAGTCGATTCAGCAAGGGGAGGCTACAAGGGAAGAGCTGGAGTCTGAGAGGGTTGTCGTGTCTTTATCTTTGGTCCTGGCCCAGCAGAGCAGAGAGCTGCGACGGAAGTGAATCAGGTCCAAGATGTCTGCAGGGCGTGCACCTTATTTTTTTGTCAGTTGGGCAGAACGGAGCATCGTGCAGCACCTTTGCCGTGGCTACCACGCCTTTTGCGCGCTTAGGCGTCAATCAAGCGGCAGCTTGTCCCGGAGCACATCCAGGATCAAGCTGATGGTGTTTGACGGCACTCATTCGGCCCATTTATCCAGTGCTGTCCTTGCAGGCTATCTGCTCGGGGATCAAGAGAAGCCTCGAAGGTGTGATCCGTTCAAACCAGGGCTGCGTCGGCGCACACTTCGGTTTCACTCGCGACCATTGATGTGTATGAATTCTTGCATGCTTGATTCGCAAAATAAAGCTGCATTTAACAAAGTGGAATCGCTTTGCATGCCTGCTCTGCGCCAGCAGATTGTTGATGGTGGTTGTTTTTGGTTCCTTGACAGTGAGACCCTTGTGTTGCACATGCAGGTCTTCTGGCCGCAGGAGCGGTTTCTTCACGGTTTGAATCTTCAGGCTATGTAACCAGAGGCTGAGCCATGCATGGCAAGGTTACACCACAGCTGGTCTTGAATTAAGATCCGAAGCGCGAAGATACTTGTCGTTCGTCTCCACGTCAGCCATTTGGAATAGGATAAGCTATTTGCAGCCATGCGCTTGACCTCCCAGCCCAACGCTTGGCACGCGCGGTCCTGGGCTCGGTGCCGCAAGAAGTTTCTATCAGATTCTCAAGCCCACAGAAGTCGGACAAAGCCAGCAAAGCCGTGCCGTCTTGGTTCCCGATGCCAGTGACGACTAGAAGCGATTGATCTGGCCAAGGCTGCATGGCAGCTTGCGAGAGGGCGTCTACTTTGCGGAGGTACGAAATGACACGTTTTGGCTGCGTACCAGCATGGTTGCATCCAGAAAGGTGCTGCTGGGATCTCCCAGGCTCCGGGAATGCAGAGTTTTGAAGATGCAGCAACGACTGAGATGTGTCCTTTGACTTTGCAGGCCGCAGCGTGCGTCTCTGATAGCTACTAGGATCGCACTCATCATTTGTTGGGAGTGTCCCCAAGCTTCACTTTTTATGTCAAAAGCGTTGAAGAGCCAGCCTGTACATGTCTTCAGGTTGATACCGCAAGCTGGGTTACTCGGCGGCAGCAGTGCCTTGCACATGTCACACCAAACGACAATTTGGTCTGGTTTCTGAAGCCGTCAACTGTGATACGGTTTGAAGCAGCCAGGATTGCGATTCCAGGATGAAATTATGGTGTGTCTCCAACTACAAAGGTGCTTCTGCACAGCCAAGCTTCGTTTCAGTCGGTCCGTTTCTCCTTGGTCCTTGTCCTCCCACGATCCTTCTCTGCCATAATTCCCAGAAGCCTGCCGTGGGCCTTCACGCTTGCTCCAAGAATCTCCAAGACTTGTCCGCCTGTGTGCCTTCCGTTTCTTCTGTTTGTCTGGGGACCAGACCACGAAAACAAACCTGCCTCTTAGCGGTCAACGCAAGCATGAAGCTGCATGCCGAAATCTCAGGTGACTGAATTGACTTGCACGGGGTGTTCTGCCTGCGGGAAACATCTGCATCCTCATTTCAACTTATCTGGGAGCGCGACCGGGTATTGGCTTCGCTGCGGATCCAAGTGTCCAGGCAAATGTCAGAAGGACTCGATTGGCGACTCCAATTCATGCCGCGTTGCCCGGTCACGCTTACTTGCAGTTCTGTGGCTGATGTCGCGGAGGATCAATGCAGCTTCGAAGAGAAGTATCTGGAAGGCTCTTCACTTCAAGGGCACCTGTCTCAGTGGAGGTCACAAGCACGCGTCAGACCGCGTCAGTTGCGCGAGATCTCCGTTCAGCCAAAGGAGATGGTTTCGCGACAGCCTGCGTTTTGTGTCTGCAAACGGAAGCCGGGGACGCAGTTGAGGATGTCTCTCCGCAGACAAGCAGCACCGTGTGTCACATTGAAAGTCGACGCACTTGCTCGTCTCGTGGACTGAGGCACTGAGGCGTTAACGGCATCAGTGGGCTGTGCTCTCAAGGCAGTGCTACTGATACTGGAATGACCGCGTTCAAGAAGGCTGGGATATGGAATGCCCGGCAGGAGTCGGGACTTTTCCATGCACAGCAGCAGAACGGCATACTTGGGCTGGCGCCTGGTTCCTCGACGAAAGAGACAGAGCTTGAAGATTCCCAAAGCCCAAAACGAGACGCCCCTTCTGGCCACACCAGGTTCCGCAACAAAGCCGACGATGATCTGGCAAGCCTTCAAGAAGGAGCTGTGCACCGAGAGGCAGGGCTTGTACTGCAGCTTCGGGTTGTCGGAGGCACGAGGCGCCAAATCAAGAAACCGGGCACGAAGCTCGGACCGGGTGAGAGGTGTGAGAGTGGATGCGGGTGCTGTGCTTCCGATTTGTGGAGAGCCGTATGTGCTTGTTGCATTTGCTGCGATCTGAGTCAGGTCTTTTCCCTGAGCTTGGGAGGCGAAGGCCAAGTCTTCGCGGAACTTCGCACGTGCAGACTTCCCACGCCTGCTTAGCTGCTTCTTTTGCTTTTGGAGGCGGAGAGCTGGTCATCGGAGCAGACACCGCCCACGTCGGCCAGTGGGCCCACAAGCTCAGCCATTTGTCGTCAGACATCATCCCAAGATATCCCAAGTCTCTCTTGTCAATCCTTCTACGCTGCATTGAATTCCCCTTCGCACCTCACTTCAGGTGCCCTTGCAGATCAGCGGATCAAGTGGCAAGTATGGAGTCAAGGTGCTCAATGGCTGTAGAAAGAATGCTGGCTGTTTACACATCTCCGTGTGCTGATGTTGCCTGAACTGCAGGTTGAGGCTTTGATGTTCAACGGACACTCCATCCCCTGTAGGCACTCACGTCTTCGTCATCAAGAGATCGCAGTGTCCATGCATAGCTTGCAGGGGTCGAGCGCAGCTCGACTCGGCTTCCACCTTCACCTATTTGCCCAAGGAGGCCGCGGAGAACTGGTCCTCTTTGCTCCCGCCTTTCAAGTTGCAAGTCTCGCAGGCTGAGACGCAGCTGCGGAGAGCCTTGGCGGACCGGGCGGGCTTGGCCGCGCTAGACCTTTCGACACGATTGGGTGTTGCCGGTCGAGGACTTCTGCAAAGGCCAGCAATGTGTCCCCGCAGATCCACCGGCTGCAACGGGTGATGAGGTCCAGCAAGGGCTGTCCAATGCTGTCCATGCACGGCGAAGACTCTATGCTCGTGAGGCAACCAGGCACTGCTGGAACGTGCAAGGCCCGCTATGTTCTTCGCACATTTGTTCCCGACTTGAGCTCTGATCTAAGTCTGCTGCTCAGGTGGCACTGCGAATATCAGCACCCTTCGGCTGAGTTGCCGAAGCTGCTTTCTTCTGGTGCGGAAGTGCTCTTGGAATCTCTTGCACAGGTACGAAGCGTTTTCCGGTGTTGTCCTGGAGACTTCAAGGCCTCGAGGCCAGCCGGAACTTGGGAGATCTCTGACATCGATATTCAATCCCCTTCATGTTGGTTCGAGCCGAACCCCCCTTCGCCTGCAGGTCCCATGGCCACCCAGCCGATACCTTGTGCGCTACAGCGGCAAGCGGGTGAGGCTGTCAGCAAGGGAAGTTCCTTTTCGATTTTTGGACTTCAGGCGTTTTGAGGGCTGAGGCTTTGCTGCTACTTCTGGCTGCACTTTCATCAGTCAACGGGCCAGGCTTTGCTATACTTTTCGTGCAACCAACGCCGCACCCTCAGCCTTAAACGCCGACGCCCGGCGATTCCAGGAAGCGGAAGCTGTGTACGTAGTTTGCATCTGGCTTGCAGTGACAGTGATGTTGTCGCCCCAGCCGGAGCAAATCCAAACATTCCAAGCACGCAAGAGCTTTCGTTTGAGAGACCAAGCTGTGCCCCAGGCCCTTCCCGACGGCTCACAGATCGTGTTGGGCGCATCCTGGATGGTGGGGCAGGACAGGATCGAGCCCAGCCCGTGCCGTCGCGGCACTGGCCCTGAAATGCTTTCAAGGAACTGCTCTTCGACATCGACAAGAGTCGGCTGGGGCTGACCAAAACAGCTAATGGGTTCTCGTCTCAGCTTGGTTGACACACTCACACACACATGCACGGAAGGAACCATGTGACACTTCTATGTCGGGCAACCGCAGACTTCTCAAAAGAAGTCAGCCATTTGACACTGCACCGTTTCTGTGATCAAACATAACATAGACTCGTGCGTTCGAAGCCAGCGGGGTAGCACATGGCGAGGCATCCTTGACATCCCTTGCAAGTCGAAGCAAGCCAGGGCAGGAAGACCTCGCTCTGGTCTGCTCGGAACTCGAAAGGCTGCTCATGTCTGCTCTACTTACATTCTACTTACTAGCCTCGACTGCTTCACTTCGAAAACAGGAGTCGGCTCCCCTATGTGGTCTTGAGATTAGCTGTAATTGAGACTTTTTCGCCCTCGCGGATTTGACGTGACAACTGCATGCCATCAAGTGCCATCATCGTTTCCAGCTTTAAACGCCACTGCTGCATGCTGGTCTGTACACCTGTGCCAGTCGAGGATCTATGCTCGAACTTCTTGCAAGAAGGGTCCAACTTGCACACACCACGCTCATGGTCCCGGATTGAGCACACATGGAAACGACCCGTCCAAGCTGATGCTGTTCGAGCTTGTCACGCCGGGGCTTGCTAAACTGCTAAACAAAAACCAGCTTTTCTCTTTCGAAAGGCATGAGCGCAATTCAAATTGGACATGTGCCTGCATCTATGACAGGTGAGGTTTGTGGATGCTATAGAGTTTCTGCAGAACCCCAGCTAGAACATCTTCCACTCGTGTTCAAGGTCGGAGCCCTCACTCCGCCATCGCGACTCGCCTCAACGACGCCGAGTCGTTCCAAGCTTTGGGCTGAGTCCTTCTTGCCTGCTTTGTAACTTGGACCGTACACTTGCAACATCGGTTCTGGTGCTCTTGTGGGCTTTGCGCAAGTGAAGCTTTCGGAATGTGCTCGGATGTAACTCCTTCCAGAAATGTCCTCGTGACTCCTGCCTCAATGCATGAGCCCTGCCTGCCTGGCACGGACGGTTTTGAGACAAATCTGCTTTCTTGCTCATGTTGACAACTTGTCTGGATGTGCTGTTCACTCAAGGTTGGTGCTTTTAGTTTGCATAAAACGCTTTTAGCGCGTAAAGGAATGTATCCGCGAAAGCTTCACGATGGGTCCGCGAAAGGAAAAGCAATTAGCCGTCCCAAGCTCACTGTTATGCAATGCCACAGTATACCCAAAGCCCGGAGAACCGGGTTGCAAGAAGCAGCAAACACGCAGCTGCCAGTTGCAGTCAATCGTCGTCGTCAGCATCACAGTCACAGGTAGCCAAAACTCCGTAGCCTTGAACTGGCCTTACACCCTAGATCACCGGGCAGGGAGCAGGCCAAGCCAAATTCGCGAGCAGGTGAGCAGGCCAATTACAGCATGAGCGTCTTCTCATTCTGCCGTTGCGAAAGAGGGCCCGGCCTTTGAAGGCCTTGGCCCTCTACAACGCACTTCCAGAACCCTTACAAATCTCAGCGCCCTCTCCCATCACACGTTCTTGTCAGTGAAACACCTCGAGTTTGTGCGAAGGAGATGCACCGTCTTCCCGCGCTGTGGAGCAACCGGCGCCCATCACCACCACACGCACCAAGGTTGAAGCAATGATTTTGTTGAGTTGGGTGCTCTGCCGTTGAGAAGCAGTGGGAGATGCTGTCTTGATCTTCGTGAAGAAAAACAAAGTTGGTACTCAGGCACCGATCTCACTACAGCTCCGTGTGGTGCTTATGCTTGCAAAAAATACAGGCCAGGGTTTGATTATTGGAATCACGAAGTCTCTTTCAGGTCTGCTTCCCCTGCGGCAGAGGCAGAGACCAGTTCCTCAGGCCGGCTCTGCTAGAGTTCAACAGTGGAAGAGCTTGGGTCAAGTGAGTCTAGTGCCTGAGGTGTCAGTCTGCCACTTCCCGATCCCGTGCTGGGGTTCGAACTCGAGACTCAGATCGTGGAAGGAGTCGCAGGAGACCCGGAGCTCCGAAGCCTCCGCTGGAAGAAGTCAACCTAGCCGTCTAGCCCGCAGGACTGCTGCTTCTAGGGGCATTCGTCCTTCGTGCACGCCGGAAGCTGTGGCCGGCCTCTGAGGAGCAAAGTGGCTTTGGATGTAGGGCTGTGCCACAAGTAGCAGCCAGAGCAGAGGCGACTTCTCTTCAACTGTCTGCGAGGCAGCCGAGCTCGAGGGGTCTCTTGTATGTCTTGTCTCATGCGTCCGCACTTGCAGGTGCGCGCATTTGAGCATTCAGCTAGCACGAATGCAGAAGGCGTCGCGCCTCGAGAAAAGAAGAAAGGGACGTGCTTGCTTGAGCTTGAGCTGGCCACTGTCCGCGCCTTTCCTTTCACGTCACGTCGTGGTCACTTGTCCCCTCTCCTCTCATTCCCACAGCCATTTTGGCGAAGAGGATATGTGTTTTCTTCGTCTTCCGATATCGAACAGATCTCGTTTTTCATAGATTCTCTGATGCACGGAGCTTCCGGTGTCAGGCCGTGATCCAAGATGATCCATTGTGCAGCTGTGCACTAAGGAATCAGACTCTTATGGTAATTCCAGTCGTGGGTGCAAGCCCACAAGATGCTCCTCCACCAGCTGCGGTCAAGGAGATGCTTGGCTCAGAGAAATGCGGGGTGATCCATGCTAAAACCTGTTCAATCAAATGGCGGTGGCATGCATGGCAACTCTGCATCGTGTGCAGCTGTCTCAGGTTTCACTCGTATTTCTGGTGGGGGATCTTCCTGATATTGGTGTCGATGGCAGTGCTGCAGGTTGTTGCAGGAGACGGGTTTGGCATGTTCTTCACACTGATATTGGCGGCCATCGTCTATTACATGGTGTCGGACCACTGCGCCAACATGTCGATGTACTGCCTGCTTGTCTTCGGACTGATATCTGGCTTCGAATCGCTTTTTGGTGTTTTGACACTTTTCAGCGCCGTGCCCCCAGTCGTGCTTGTCCAATGCAGCGGTAGCTCGAGAGGAGTCAGGAACAAGCTTTTCTGAGCTGTCAGGTAGTGGGTGGACGCAGCTCAAGCACCACCCTTATCACCAGCAAAGATGCAACCAGTGTCACCTACGAGACACAGGTTAAGGTACATCCGCTCTTTGACTCCACGCAGGGGACCCTCAGCTCGTGATCAACAGGGCAACAGGGATTATGTCTTATGCAGCTGCTGCCAGCTTGATGTCGTTGTACTTTATGGCCACTCAGGACAAAGTACAACATCCAGCGTCTTCCCTGAATAGTAGAGCTATCATTGAAGTAGAGGCGTTCCTTTGACCGTGATTAGTTTCTACTTAGGGGCAACCTCGAAGCAAATTGAGAGCTTGTCCACAGGTCGGGCCTATTGGTGGCTCTTCCAGTCGTGATGCTGCTCAGTGCGCTGCTTTCGTGGTGGTCCTTCCGTGCGTATCCAAATTCTTTGTTCTCGGACTTTGATGAGGCCAGTGGTTGAGTGACACAGCAGTGCGGACCGGTCAGCATTCATGCGTAGCCCCCTAGCACTCGTCAGGAGGCGGAGCCGATCTATGCGCAGGGACCACCTCCAGGCCAGATGCTTGAAAGACTCCAAATTGTGGGTTCTGCCGAGACTGCCGTCGCGGATGTAGGTCAGTATGGCGGTCCGCCTCGTGCCCGGCAGCAGCAGGCACGATCAGATACCCGTAGATTGGTCACGAAAGCTCGTGAGGAGCTTACAGGAGTACTTGGGAGGTGGGGCAAGCGATCCGGGCCTTATATCAAGAGTTGAGGCTGCGCGAGTTAAGGCCCACTTGCAAGAAGCAGGTACTCGTAGCGAGACTACAGAACGGGGTGGCTTCTGCCCACCTTTAGAGTCGCCACCCTCCGCTTAGGCTGTTTCTGCGATTGCTTCTTACGGAACATGCCATCCGTAAGTTGAGCAAGCTTCCTAGCTGACTGTCGATCCTCACCATAGTTCTTCATGTGAGGAGTCTTTGTCCTGTCATGTGACTGTAGGTACAAGTCGGCATGACTGAACCTAAAATAGGGTATCCTTCAGAGAGCTGATGTGATGTTGACGTTTTGCCATAGCTTTCATGGCGTCCCTGTCAATCTCTTCGAACGCACGAGTCCCAAGTCCAAATAATTGCAGGCGCCAGCTACCGGTGCGACGTTGCCGCGACTCTTCGAGGGCCAAGGGCAGCGTCTTGGTCAATGCACCCCAGACGAACATCAGATTAGCAGACCGCTGCGCGTGTACCGTGACAGTGTAGAACCGAGGACATTTGTGCGATGGCGATGCTGTTAAGAACATCATCCCAGCGTCTCACACGAGTTACGTGGATCCGTGGATGTGGAAGCCGAGAAAGATGTCTCACGCTGCAAGATCGGGTGAACGTGCAACGGTAAAGCAACTTTTCTGGGATAAGACTCACGATGCACCAAGTTGCTCATTTCCACATGCAATGGGAAGCCGAGGTCTAGTTAGGCATGGCTTGCTGCCAGTAAGGAGAATTCGTTCGATGGGCCCGGCAGCTGCAGCACACCCCAGCTACTAGCATGATGGACTGATGGACTTGCACGCCAACCACCTGCGAGTGGCTAAGGCTAGGACCGGCTAGGGCTTCAGGCTTCACGTTGCGACTCAATGCTTTCGCGCCATGGGCGCCCAATTCTGCTCTCCAAGCGACGGAGTGGTGCCCGGCTCTGAGACGATTGTGAGCCTAGCTTCAAAGCGGCTGCGCTTGGAGATCCTGGGAGGATTCAGCTACTGGCAGCCAGTGACATCGACATTGATGGCTTGGCCAAGATCAGCCTCCAGAGCTGCTGGGCTAAGACTGTGTGAAGCTGCTAGAATCGCTAGAACCTGTGGCTGCCGAGGTTCATCCAGCCAGGCCACTGGACAGGCCGGCGGGAGATCTAGAGCTTCAAAGATCTGAAGTCCTTACGCACAAAAGGCGAATCTTGTGACTCGTCAAGTTCGCAGCTGGTGCAGATCCCAGATGCCGTTTGGATCGAATTCGGTTGAAGCCACCATGCAAGAGGCCTCTGACGAAGCTGACGGAGCATTACGAAGTTCAGGAACGTAGCATCCAGGCAGGGTTGCTTGGCGTGCCGGATCTTCTCAGCTATCGCAGCCTTCTGTGAGAGGATCTGCCGACTGTTCGTCTGGTTTCAGACCAAAGTGGAACGGTGCGAGTCTCACAGAGTTGCGTGGGTAGCGTGCATGCACGAGTCCTCTCGGAGATTCGAGGTTTATCGGCTCAGCTCGCTTCGCAAGCCTTGTGGCAGACACCGCCAGGAAAAGCTGAGGCGCAACGTTCTGCTCGCTTCAACCCGCTTCAGCTGGTCGGGGGTTTAGGGTTTGGCGTGGTACGCCTCTGGCAGGGCGCACGTTGCGCAGCTGCAAACTCAGCAGTTCCTGGGAACTGCCAGGCTCGGGCTCTGCGTTCGAGGATGTTCGAGGCTTTGCGCCTTCCGCCCACGTGTGCAGGATCTTCGCAGTGTACGAAGACTGCAGGTCGATGGCGATAGCCTGGGCGCCCGGAAATCTTCCAAAATGCTCTTCAAACCATAACTGATGATGCAAAGGTCACAGAGCACTGCACTGGCGGTACCGTGTTCGGAGCACAGTGCCGATCTGCTCCAGGAAGAGGCGGAAGAGGCTTCTGTCGTTTGAGTCTGCTTCAGGCAAGAGCGCATTTTGCAGCGGAACGTCTTCTCCGAGCAGGAGTGTGCAATGCTCGTCAAGCACATGCTGGAGGTGCCGAGCGACAAGATAAGACACCGGCATGAACAGTGCCATCAGCGCACCGAGCTGTCTACAACTACTCGATATAAGGCGTGGGATTAACTACCATCTCCGCTCTTGACATGCCAGCCGCTCCGTGAACTTCACGAAGCTGGTTTGTCGCACGGCCACCTGTCGCCCGAGTCTTTCAGGCGCAAGCAGACATGTGACGAGACCAGAATCAGATGCCATGGACTGCCAGGTTTCAGAGCGATCAAACTCAAGCCCCACTCAAGCTGGTGGATTTTGGTCTCGAGCTGAAGGCAGGATCGCGTTGCGACGGCTCGTGGAAAGGAGACGCACGTGGCGCATGCAGTTCGATCTCGAGTTGCTGTTGCAGGTGTGTTTAGACGAGTGGACACCGGATTCTGGGCATGGCGAGCTGCTTATGCCGGGTGAGGCAGATGCTTGCCCAATCCCCGCGAAGCATGTGAATGCTAAGACCCCCGAAGGCCAAGAACTTAGCGATCCATCATGAAAACTTTTGGGAAGCGGGCATCAGCAGCTCTCTTTGCGAGCTGTGCTCGGCTGCTGCGGTATCTGTACTGCATGAGTTGTAAATCCCAGCTGCTGCATAGTGCAGCCGTGCAGCTACTATCATTCGCGAGCCGCAAAAGCAACCAAATGGGTAGAATCCAAGCAAAAGGTTCAGCTCTGGCGCAGGCCTACGTTCGACACTGGCCTCGCAGCGCTTGTTCGCAGCTGTTCGAGGTGCGGAACATCTAGCAACTCCACTTGTGACACCACGCATTGGGAGACCTGCCGCTTGGTCTTCTGTGCGCCGGAAGTGCTCAAGCACCTGAAGGCGGTATTTCTCGCGTAACGTGCGTGACCTTGCGGTTCCGTACTCACGATAGGTCGGATTGGAGCACGACTTGCCGGACCACCGGTTGCCGGCCGCGAGCTTGAAGCAAGGCGAGCCGATCTTGCTGTGGGGCGAGCTGCTGCCAGTGTGAACGGTGCTGCAAGGTGCTCTCGTTTCTGTTGCGAATAGGAAAGCCGGAAGCTGTCCCGAGGGGTTTTCTTTTGTGATCGTTCTGTGTTGTGCAGCTGTTTTTCAGGCTACTCTTCTGGTCTGTGTTCTCGTGCTGGTGGCAGTATGCTCGATCGCCATACACAGGTGGTGGCTTGTAGGGGCGGCCCATCCGTTGTGATGAGTTTTGTGCACATCCAGTCAAGGGCGGTGAGCTGAAGGAAGTAAGGAAAGTACGGACAGTACGGACCACAGTAAGTAACGAATCCCTCTTCACTGCCGTGCCACTCGCACCGGTTTGCTCATGTTTGCACGCTGCCCTACCGTATTCGCGGCAGACAAGCTGCCTAGGGGTCTGTCCTCATGCCCCTTGGCAGCGATGCAAGGCTCTGTACTTCTGAACACATCCTCCCGCGTTCTCTCGCATCATGGTGTGACGGTTCCGGGAGCGCGTGTGCGTATGTGTGCGTGTGGGGCGCGCTTCCACGTCTGTTTTTTTCTTTTTGGCGATTTGGTTCCAGCGGTCTATGCTCACGTGCGACTGCTGTGACAGCTTTCCTCTGCTCTTCGCTAGGACTAGGACTCAGCGTTGCGTAGCTCAAATGTATACACACGTGGGAAAAGCCCTTGAGGCGTCCTTGATTGGGAGAAGCTCGGCAGCAAGGTGCTCGAAAGAAAGCCGTGTTGTCCGGCAGCTGTCTTCGAGGACTGCGGATATGCTAGATCTGCATCTACTATCAGAGGCTTGCATGCTTGTGTGCTGGCTGTGTAATGTTGCTTTGCCTGCTTTGCCTCAAGCGTCGTTCCTGAGGCCATTGACGCCCACTTGGCCAGGCAGCAGGACTGTCCGGCTTGTCCACGTTGCTCACGGGATTCCCGAGCCGAGAGCACGCAGATCTCGCTTCTGCATGTTCAGAGACTGCGTGGATCGTCGCATCGTGCATGCCAGAAGTTGTGGAACTGAGACACATCGCGGAGTGGCTGCTCAGAGGGTGAACCTTGGTGGTGTTGGTTACACCTGTGTTGAGTTCAGACCCCATGCGTCTGGAACAAACCTGAGCCGTGTTCGGAGCAAGATCCTGTTGAGTGAAAGCTCCTGGTTGCCGGTTCAAGGTGTGGGGTTGTGGGTTCAAGGGCTCGGGCTCGGGTTTTTAAGGGTGGGGGTTATCAGCCGCCTCCTTGCACAGCCTCGGCGCTCACCCTTCACCGGGTCCACCGGCCATTGTTTCTGCTCTCGCACATCAGAGCTTGCTAGAAACTCCGAGGCCAAGTAGCATATCGCATGTCGTTCGCAGCCCCTTACCTGGTTGTGATCATTCCATCCTGCAAGCTGTGGGCCGAATCTTTGCAGTAAGGAGACTTAGCACAAACTGTAAAACTCGGGTGTAGGCAGAACCACGACGTTTGATAGTGTCGTACGTGGAACTTCCCAGTGGCAAGCGTTAGCTGAGCTCCTCGTATAGACAGTGCGAGCACCACTGATCGAGTACTCGGTGCCTGCGTGTCGGCCATCTCGTATCGCAAGCTGCTGAAGTCGGTCCGTTCTTCCCCGTGTGGTGCACATCCATGGCATGGCTGCTTGGAGAACAAACTGCCCACGCAGCGATGAACGACGACCCCAAGTGCTGCCGGCCTCAGCGAAGATGCAAAACAGATCGTGCGCAGACGAAATCCTTATTTTCAGAACAAACCGACCTGAAAAGATAAGCAGCCGTTGAAGACAAATGTAGTCATAGTTGCATGGCTTAGTTTTTGTGTGTCGCATCCACGAACATGAATGCTCCAGATCATCACCTGCATAATCTGGCTCAGATGCAGAAGACACGGCAACAGAAAGCTCACGGCAAGGTGCCAGGATGTGCCAAAGAACAGCAGAGAGCAGAGAGTAAGAGCATCTTCCTTCTTTATGCTTTTTAGCACAGCCGCCACAGTCCCGCAGTGAAGGACTTCGGGTGGGACTTCGCCGCTGCGGATGCGTGGAGCGCCCGGCCCTCGAACCCTCCAACCGTCCGCGAACGTTCGGCTCGTTTTCGGGATTCCGTCCCCCTCTGCCTACTCCCATGCTATAGAAGTTGCGCTGGCGAAGACCCGTAAGCCGGTCAGACAGTTGTACTGATGTACTGTCGGGTACTGTCACCAAGTTTTGGTTTTCCTTCCGCAGGGGCAGGAACCCTCCCTTTAGCTTGGCATTTGCTCCATGCATTCGCGCTTTAGCGAGGTGGGAGCAATTGCATTCCTTCTGCTCTGCGGGTGAGCAGCCCTGCTGCCGTGTCATGGTTGTGATCGCCTTGAGAGATCCCGCACGATTTGTCTCTGCATGTTGCCTGTCGTCCAGGTACCCGCCATTTTTTGCCCCTTGTAGACATGCCATCATCTCGAGAGTCGAGAAGACTGACTTGTCATTTGTCAGCGACCTACCCGGTGCTGCTCCTGATGCTGCTTGTATTCCGAAGGGGCGCCTCTGGAATGCGCATCCTGCGATAAGGATCCGCCTTTCTGGTCTAAAATCTCGGAAGAAGCAAAGGAGCACCAGTTGCATTGCAGGAAGAATGGCACAGTGCGGAGACATGTCTTTGCAGGACTTCGTCCAGAGATGTTTGCACGGAAATGCCGCAAAGCGGCTGACAGTGCAACAGGCTCCTGGAAACTGCCATGGTCGGATCGGACATGGTCGGATCGTAAGTCTTCCATGTATGGCCTGGGCACAGGCATTGCAGCACCCATGGATTCGACAGCTGGCAGACACATCACCGTCTGGCTCAATGCTGCCCTCCTTCGACACTCAGATGCAGTGAGGGCTCCCTGAGCCTCGGCACTAGCAAAAGCTGCTGCAGGCGTTGAACCTACGACGCTTTTGCAGGCCTCGTCTCGTCTCGTCTTGTGTCATCACAGTTTGCCGCATGCCTGCGCCTTGCGCGCCTTGCGTGCCTTGCGCGCCTTGCGCGCCTTGCGCAGCGCCTTCAGGACTTGGCTCATCGAGGCCTCGTGTGGCTTCGATGTTCTGCCTTGCACACTGCATCTACAGCGTCAGCAGAGCGTGAGCGTCAGGTGTTCGTGGCGAACAGCTTGGCATCCAAGCTGACCTACCTGGGCTCGTTACAAGTGCAACGGGAGCGCCAATCTGAGGGGTTCGGTCGCATGATAGCGCTTGCACGGAGCCGGCGCCTTCGACGAGAAACTGCCAGGTGTCAGAAGGCGGATAAAGACAAAGCCGGCTTCCTCACATCAGCAGACCTGCGACAGGCTCCTGCATGTGTAGCGGTGACAATTGTCAAGTTCTCCGACATGTCAAATGCCTAGAGCGAACACCGTGTCAGGTCTTACAGAATAGTGGACACTCTGACATCGTCGAGGTTATTGTGCACAGGCCGCAACAGCTCCAGCCAGCTCGATGGCTCCCGATCTGCAGGCCATCGGATCGTGCTTTGCCCGCTTTTTGCGGCATCCCGGAGAGTCGTGCGCGGTGATGTGTCTTGCTTGATGCTCGTTTTTTGCTTGGTTTCCTTGTATGCGGTTCCAAGCCCTCGAGCACCAGGTATTTGGACTATAATGCGCTGCTCGACTCTGTCCGACTCAGACGAGAGGTGTTGCTTGAGGAGGACCCGATGCATCTCGGGCGGCCGGAAGAGCTTGACTTTTCCTTTGCGCTATGAGGCTCTCGGCTCCCTCTGTAGAGCTCTCAGGAGATTTGGGCCAGCTTCAGGGAAGCTGAAGGGACCGCGCGGATCTCGCTGTTCGATGATCCAAAAGCTCTGGGCTAATTTGCGTGAGCTGTCAAGGCCGAACCTACGGCACAGTCCATAGCTTCCTTCCAGCAGGTAAGCTCTGGGATTTTGGAGTTCGGCTCTACTATGTTCCATTGTTCAGCTCGGCGTCTGGAGGCCGCCTCTCTACATAGCATCCTTCGACGAGAAGGAATGCAGGCAGAGCAACAGAAACGAATGTGCCGGGTGGTTGCCGAATGGGCAGCTGCAGGATGGGCATGCCATCAGCTCGGGGCTGACCTTTCCAAGTCACCCAGAAGCAAGTTCTCGTCACAGTCCATGTTCGCAGGCGCCGCAGATGGAAGCGCCGCAGAGACTTCTAAGGCAGATGCGGTGATGCACCTGATGCAACTCTGCTGCCTTCGACGACCCCGATTCCAGTGGTGTGAAGGTCGACATCAACGACTTTATGGCCAAAGTGCTGTCTCAGCTGAGGCATGGGCCTTGTAGCTCAACCGCGAGTTTGCCCTCGGATGTGCCTCTCCCTCCAAGGTCCTTCGCTCATGAAGCCATGCAGAAGTCGCTCAGCAAAGAATAGCTTTGCTGGCGACTTGTACAAAGCCGATGCAGCACGCTGCAAAGTCAGCGAAGCGGCTGGGCAACGCGCGTTGCCCTCACGGTGTCAGCGAATGGACCCACCTTCGTGGCAAGAACAGGCTCCCCACATCTCGAAAGTTGCTCGGTGCAGGTTAGCGATTTCAAGCTAATGATGCGAACGCATGCGAAGGCCGCATTGGAGTAGACACGGCTCGGAGCAGTGTGCACGCAAGCGAGTTCGTAGAGAAGAGCAGTAAGTCTTTCGGCATACCGTGGAAACAGTTTGAAGCATAGGACGGGTTCGACAGGCTCGAGCTGGAAGCATGTTGAACCTGAAGCAAAAGCAGGATATCTGGCTGGGCCGGACAAAGATAAGTACACGTGCATGCGAATGGATGCTTTTTCGTGCCAGCTTCGGCAATTTTCACACATTTGCACACCTCCGAAGCCGATTTGGTGAATGGAATTGCTTGCTCAGACGGCGGGCATTTTCTCGGGTGGGATCTTGGGCAGGTGGTCCCCATGTCGGGCAGAGGGCGCGAGGGATGGCCATCTGGGTGCTGGAATGATCTCGTGCGCCGGTGAAGTTGTCTTTCCTTTGTTAGGGGTCTGAGAGTAGGATACACGAGGAAAACTTGCACTTGTATCACTGCATCCGTCTGCATCCGTAATTATGTAACTTTCTAGACTTACCTTCATGGAACCGCTTCCCTCAAAGATCTCACGGTGTCGACTTTACCTGATCGCTGAAGCCTTTGGCTGAATCGTACAGCATGCCAAAAGCATAATCATTACCCGGAATTAAAATCACCAAGAGCACACGCGAAATTAGCCGCAGCTACAGAAGTGCTGCTCGAAATGCAGGACGGGCAAAGCAAGATAAAGCAAGATCCTTTCTCGACATTCATTCAAAATTGGTCGTTCTGTCCACGAGACATCCCTCGCAGCTCCTTTATGGCTGCATGCTGATGCAATGGTCGCTCCTACTGATAGGCCACCGTCATCACAACCTGCTACCGCACCTGTCGGGTGTGAGCATTCATGTAGGCTGTGCAGGCTGGGTTTCTGGCGCTCCATCGCTGGGCGACTACTTTGACAACTTCCCGGGCTTCGATTCAGACTTGACGCGCGATGACTTGTGCGCCTCACCCTGTTCCTTGCGGCCCACTTGCACAAACTCCACAACCAAAGGTACGGCTACGGATCGTTTGGCGACTTTCGACGCTTGGCTCTCAGTGATCGCCTTCGGTTTCTTTGCTTGTGCTGCTTAAGCTGGTCAGGTGGGAGGGGCTATGATGACTACTTCGGAGCTGGCCCAGGGTCTTACGGAGGTTTCAACACAGGAGCTGACCGCAAAGAGCCAGGACCAAGAAGCCCACATGTCACCTGCAAATGCAATGCATTTCAATGCTTGTGGCGTGTCAGGAAAGGATGACTGTTCCCGCATTGAAGCCGACGGTGTTCCGCTTGCTGACCTGCTTTTAGAGGCTCCTGACGGTTTTGATTCTGACCCTGCTCTTGCACTGTAAAAGCGAAGAGGTGAAACTGAGTCACACGCATCTTTTCTTGCTGTGCTGGAAGGCCGCAGAGAACCTTCCAGCAAAGGTATCCGAAGCACCGGCGCAAGTGCTTGAGGCGCAGGAACTGCTCCCGTGTCGATTCATCCTGTTCCCAGACACATGTTGCACGGTCTGTCAGCTCGTCCACTTCTTCGCCAGCAAGGTGCAGAGTACAGACAGATCATCCATGTCCCATTCACTTGTGGCACTCGTTTGACATGTTCCAGGAACACAAGCTATTTCTGCTTGGTCACTGCCCACAAGCAGTGGCTCTGGCTCTGCTTCTGGAAGCTGAAATGGAGGAACCTGGCCCAGACGATTTGCCGTGCTGTAACAAGTGAGTATCCAAGAACGCAAGGCCACCACGGAAGGCGGAAACAGCTCTTCGGCACGAGCTAGAAGGGCCTCTCGCATTTTTTACAGTTTTGGATGTGGGAGGCACTGAGCCAACTGGCGTGACTCAGCGTGCTGTGGAGCCCTTGGCTGTACTTGTGGCAGTGATGCGGCATATGTGGCGGTTCCTGCTTCCCTGGCTGTTCGTTGGTGAAGCAGAGCGAGGTTCGACAGCTGAGCGACCTGCTTGAGGAGTCGCAGACGACGTGGCGAAGCCCGTTCAAGGCAGTGCAAAAGCAGATCCGACCAGGCGTGCGTTTGTTTGTGCACCTGGCAAGGCCCTTCCCGTGTGGAGCGGCAAGTGGGGGCAGGTGCTCGGTGCAGCCCAGATCGGGCCTCGGACTCCATCGGACTCCATGCCATCATGGCCATCTTTAGGATGTGACACTGCTCGACATCTGCTTTCCGACACGCGTGAACTCACGAGCATACTGCATACTTATCCCGAGGAGACGAACTGGAATTCTTCTGTTTCCAATAGGCGCGACAAAGTCTCCGGGATTCTTCGCTCTCGGGTAAGAACCTCGGATTCGTGTCAAGGTGAACAGCAATTCCATGTGGACTTTGTGCCGGCAGCAAACTGGTCCAAGCCGCAGCTTGCAAGCTGATCTTAATCTGTGAGAAGATTGTCGCTGGCGGGCGGTCCTGACATACTGGCCCTTGAGCAGTGAGCCAAAGCAGCCAAAGATAATGCAACCGTGCTCTTTGACGTGAGGTCTATCTGGGCAAACCGGCGATGCAGAGGGCGGCGAGACCTCGGAAATCTTCAGGACGGAAAGTACTAGTAGCACCTTCGTTTGTCCAATGCCAAGCTGACTCCTTGACTTCAGGGCACGCTTCTGACGACATGTTTGCAGAAATGCCTTTTACATCCCTCCTGCAGGCACAGAACTTGAAGTCCATGCCGTGGGCCGTGCTTTTGCTTCAAGACCTGAGAAGGTCTGCCACGTTTTGGCATTGGCAGCCCGGAGGGATGGGCTTCGATCAGCGCAACTCGGCCATTGCATTCTCTACTTGGACTCGGACGGTGCAGATTGCAAGGAGTCTTTGGTCTGAGGCTGTTTCTTATCTTCATCTTGTACCTTTGAGCTTTCGACAGATGAAGGCTGCAACGGGGAGTAGGGGCTGTCTCGGGTGGCTCGACACCTGCCTGCAGGTGCCGAGGGTGCCTTCCTCTTCGAGAAGTTATCCGTGCTGTCACAGACAGAGCAGGAGAGGGTGCTGGAGCCTGAGGACTGGCTGAGACACTGAGGCTTTTGAGCAAGCCCTCTATCGTTCGAATTCACAAGGCAGCAGACGATCCGGACAAAAGGTGCTGCCTGGGCACCTCGAGCTGGACACAGACTTCTTGCTCGGGTCTCGGAGGTTCTTTTCGGCTCCTTCGATCCTTGTATGTCTGCCTTTGTTTGCTTCACCTGCGACGCACAGCATCAGGCAACTGCATCGGAACCGACGCGTTTGTGGTTGTTGGGTGGTATTGGGGTGGATCCATTTGCCAACTCCTCTGCGCCGTGGGATCCCCAGTCACAGGGAGGGGCTGATCTCCAGTTTCGCACCATATCTTGCAATCCCACGAGTGCCACGTGTGACGAGGCCAAGCAAGGACCAGGACTGGTTCAGAATGTGGATGTGAGAAAGACCGCCTCGATTGGCAACTCGCGGACTTGGACCAGTGGCAGTCGCAGGAGGCCAAGCAGGACAAGGACGGCAAGAAGCGAAGTGGAAAAGGACTGCCAAAGCTTGCGTTCGGGTTGGCATGTGGCCAGTTCTGCCCTCCAAAGGAAAAGGCTCGCAGGAAGCAAAACATCCGGGTAAGAGGCGGGATTCATGGGAGCTCTTGTGAGCCACTGCTAATTTGTGTCGATTGCAGGCGGAATGCAACAGCAGGGACAGGTACTCAGATGCAGAAGCCCACTTCAACTCGCAAGTGCTGTAGCTGAGGCTGGATGTAGTTGAAGCTTACTTGTCTCGTCACGTGTCGATCTCGGTGGATGCCGCGTGTTTATGCTCGTCGCCCTTCTCCCCTGTGTCTGCTGCCGAAGGTCGAGCTAAGTGGCGAACTGCCTCCTCTGCGTTCCTTGCCCTATAGCAGCAACGGGCCCAGAAAGCTGAGATCTTCTGCACAGCGGAGCGCACCAGCCTTGCTGTGCTGCAGGGCTGGGGGATGTGTGGTGGAGCACGGATGAAGGTAGCAGCTGGACCTTGATGCAGCAGCCCCCTTGTCTTTTTGAGAGAAAGCCTTGCATCGTGGGAGCAGACAGCCTCGCAGCCTGAAGCGCGTTTTCAGGCAGATGGCACCTTGGGGTCCCCGCGCGCATTTTGGTGCAGTTGCCGTCCAAGACGGTCGATGTTTGCTCGTCTTCGGTGGGATCGTCACTCCCAAGGCGAGGCTGCAGTTCTCTTCACGTCGTCACGGCCGGGCCTTGATTCAGGACAGCAACTCAAGCCTGGAGAGCCTTGGAAGACAGTATGCCCCAGCCTTACTTGACGCAGGCACAGCGTTTCTGGGGTAGGCCGAGTGTAGGCCAAGTGCTGAATCAGGTCAACGATGTGTGGTATGCCGACCTGTCTGACCTGGGGTCGTTCTCCTTCCACGAGCTCGCTCTCGCTCCGTGGGAGCCACGGGCGGCATTCCAGGTGGGGCCAAACGCACCGGGAGGAGCGAAACTGAGAGAAAGAGTCTGGAGCTCTGTCTTGCAAGGCACTGGCTTGGGGCTCTCAAGGCCACGCGTTGGACAGCGAGGCCATGGGTGCGCGCGACGTGCCATGTCTCTCTACGGGGCATGGGCCGTGGCATTGTCCGTGTCTTGGCTGAGCCAACTCCAGGCAAACATGGAATCGATCGTTCTTCTGGGCGGCCGGACGCAGCCGGGACTCCTCAAGAACGATGTCGGGGGCACAGTTCAGAAGCTGCCAGCTTAGGTGAGTGCAGAAGTGTTCTGAAGCGTTGCTAGAATGAGATCGTTCTCTGTCGTGGCCAGAAGTCTTGCAATGAGTATTGGGGGCAATCACGCGGGGTTTCTAAGTTCTGAGAAACGACTCGGTTGTGCAAGCACGGTTTAAGCAGCTGTACATGTCGCGGCGACAGCTCACAGGCCTGGGCATTGGAGCTGCAGGATGTGAAGAAGCCTCTAGGCTTTGAGACGATGCACATTGTCTGAAGCCTTCATGGATTAGACTGCAGATATGAATCAGCATCCGAGAGAGCGGTCCGCTATGCCTTGATGTCGGCAGATCCCCTTTGTACTCACTTGGACTCCATGAAACTGAGGTTGTCAGCAGGTGCCACCTTGAATTGGCAGCGGAGAACGGCATCTGCTGACTGGCAAGGGCCCCACAGAAATCGGCAAATCCTATTCGGCAGATGGCCGGGCGAGGTCTCCTCGCTCAGACTTTGCCGCTGCCACGACGTTTCAGCATGGCCCCACTGGCACACGTTGGCCACTCTCTGCTCCCATCTGCTCCCTTCTTCCTGTCGAAGGTGTCTGGATATTGGGCGGTAGTGACGAGGTCATTCTCGCGGCCTTGCGTCTTCTTGCACTTGCGGGCGAATTCCGCAGGCCGGCGTGGTTTTGGCCGATGTCTGGCACAGCAAGGATCTCCAAACGTGGTTTCAGGCCGCCCAACAAAATGTTTCGACTTTCGCGGAAGCTTCACGTCCCCGCGTCCCTGCAGGTGCAGTCGCAAGCTCCATGGGGACCTCGGGTTGGCGCTTCAGCTGTCGGCTTCTCAATTCAGCGGGTGTTCTCGGTCAGTACAGCAGAGGTATGGTAAGGGCGCAACGGAGCCGCAGACACGTTAGGAGTTGTTTTTTTTGAGGTGTGCTCTGTCCGTCCCTTCACAGCTTGTTACTGTGGCATGCGTTAACAATCATTAACATGGCGAACATGCCATCTTGTAAGACCAGGAATAGGATGAACATAAGCATCAAATGCACATCGTCAGTGGCTCACGTATTGCTTTGCTTCAACTCATGCTCGCTTGACCCAGAATGGCGGGCAGCTTCGGCCGTGCCTCTATCTCCAAAGTGGCATGTGACCGTAGAGCGGCCGGAGGAGACGAAGCCTTGGCGCCTAAAACATCTGAAAGCGTCGCTTCAGTGCTTCAGTAGCTCAGTAGGCCAATGCCAGGCGAGGGGAGTGGGCACGCTCAGCGCCTCATGAGCTTTTGTGCCGAGACAAAAGCTGTGCCCTGTGACATGCACCACCTGCCTGGAGCTTCGCTGGAAACGTTAACCAGTAACCTTGGCTTGAGAAAAGTCGCCCAACCGGGCCATACCTTTCGACCTGGCCACAGGCCTGGTGCCGCCTGTAGTGGCAATGTGAACAGCAAGTGTTCGAGGGCCCAACAGATTGACTGGATTCACAGGGCTAGCACCGATACTTCGTCGGTTTGGTCGTCGTCGGCTCACGTTCCACAGAACGCGGCCCGTGCATTCAGTTGGAACCGAAACGGTGCGGACATTCATGGGGAGTCGTGACGTGGTGTGGTTGCACCCAGCATGGTTGGGTAGAGCAGGTAGAAGCCCAGGAAACTAGGTGTGCGTTGAGCTCTCGTGCATTCGGCGGTTGCGTCGTCGAAGCGGCCGAAGCTCTCGCGATGTGTTTTTCCCCACCCGGGGGCCCACCCGACCCTGACGATTTCTGCTGCGTGTAAGAGGTTATGGGTTGCAGTGCATCTGTGTGTGTCGCACGCGTCACTGCATGTCACTCCGAACCCAATGTCATGGATGCCGGTCACGTCGACGAGAAAGCGTGGCAGGGGAGTTCTGTCTGTTGTTGTGGCTACTTTGTTCTGTTTGCTGCGTCTGGCATGGGGGCTCGTGCTCGTTCGGATGGTTTGCCTTCGCCGAGCTGTTGCTATTGCTCTCTAAAGTGGTGTACATCATAGGGTCGTGGGAGAGTCAGAATGGGCAAAGGATTACGAAAGGAGGGCCAGGGCAGGAATGGGAAGAATGCACCTGTTTGGCTCCCCGAGGTGACCCTCAGCCTTGGAGCCGTGACGGATGGCACCCCAGAGACGGCCCTACATTGCATGGCGTGGTTGCAGCACGGCCACCAGCCAAGGGTGTTCTGCTTTTTGGTGGCTATGCGTATCCGGATGACGACTTTGGGCCTCTGTCTGCGCCTTAGAACCTGGAGGCCCTTCAGCCCCAGGCCCCAGCAGCCCCAATGGCAGCTGCGCCAAGGCCTCCAAGTCCGCCCGAGGAGGTTCGCATTGCAGATGCATCTCATCTAGCGCTCGGCCCGGAGTGTCTTTCTTGCTTCAGCTTCTGAAGCTCGAGGTAGCAACGTGGTTCTCCAGTGACGGAGAATTATGGCAGTCGTTTGGTCCCGACTTCCTTGCCTGGACGCTTGGGCCATACCATGAAAGGTCAAGACGTATGGGATCACTGATGATCCAACAGGTCCGGAAGGTCAGAATGAACAGGGAAACTGCAGTTTTGACAAGGTCGGGCACAACGGATGCTGCAACCGCGGCTGCGACCTGTAACATGTCGGAGCAGAGCAAAGGCACAGCGCAAGATGTCTTGGGCGTGCTGGCTCCATCTGCGAGATGTCCAGGACAGACATGTGCGTATGTCGCGGGCGGAACGAACCGGGAAGGCATCGATGTGCCAATTTGGTACAGCGGGTGACCTCCCAGTTTGTTCCAGGCTACTATGAGAATACTGTTCGCCAGCTGCGCCTGAGTGACAGGGAGGCCGGACCGGAGCAACACGGGGTGACCGGGTGGCGGGCGTCGCTTGGAGGTCTCGCTCACGTACCGTTCGGCTAGGTCAGCTTGATCACCCAGACCTCAAGCTCGCCTACAGAAGTTGGAGGCGCTTGCGATGTTCGAAATTGCACCTACGTGTCCCAAGTCTATGTTCAGGACCTCCAAAACCACGTCAGCCTGACCAGCCTGGCCATGCAGATCCCCCAGATGGCATGCAGCAGGCCGATGCCATTCAGCACGTCACAAGCTCTTCGCAGACATGCAGCTTACATGGAGGTGCAGATACTGGCAACGTGCATTTTGGGCCTTGCGCTGCCCCTGTGCTTTCGCTTCTGTAAGCTGAAGGCTGACCATGAACAAAACTGTGTGACCAAGGGATCAAATGTTTAGAAAGTCTTTCTCCAGGCGCCGCTCCCCGTTGACCCTGCGGGCCGCTGCTTGCTGAAACTCCTTGCGGGCACGCCGGCCTTCGCAGAGCCGGAAAGCCTTCGCTTGGACCCTGGGCAGCTCAGGCGTGCTCATCTTGCTGGTGTGCTTGGCCGTTCTGGTCGGATTTGCTTCTGGTCTGCAGTGTCTGCAGTTGCATAATGTTGCATGGTCGCATGGTGGCTGCGCGTGGCCGCATGCAAGCACTGACGGTCACTGACGACCGCAGCCTCAGGTGCTGCTCCGATTCTCGCAGGAGCTTGCGCAGTTCCGGCCCTAATTCCGTGGAGAGCACCGAACCGAAACCGAAATAGGATTCGAGCTTCAGCTCCTCGTCTTCCGGTGTGCAATGCGACAGGGCGACAAGTCACAGAGACCCCGCAGATAGTGCGAGCCTGAGCCTAGGCTCCGAGCAGAGAAGTGCCAACTCGACGCGCACACGGTATCAGGGCCTGGCTCTGAGACCGCCCAAAGCTAAGCAGGGTCAACTTCCGCTGCTCCCACAGGCTGCGGGACACCCTGGGCCTTACAAAGGCTGCAGAGCGCTGGGACGAGACACGGCCTCATCATCTGTTGAAATCCCGATTCTGGACACTTCAGAGCTCTGCAGGTTTGAAATTCTGCTGCGACTGGCCTCTCGAGAGTACGCACCCCTGACTTCGGCTTTGCAGAGAAGTGCAGCCGAGCTGCTGCTGCTGTAGCATCTTCGCAGGTCCCAGTACTATGCCTACGGCTTCGGCCGGGCCCTCAGCTCACACCCACACCCACGTCACACTACATGCCCAACAATTCCCTGTAGACACCATTGACATCAGGAAGCTGCAAACGCATCTGAACAATCTTGCTGCACGGTGGCAGTGGCGAACTATGGCGAACTCATTGTCTAAGTTTCAATATCGAGGCGTACTTTAATCATGCTCGGACACACAAGCAGCATCCTGGGACACGGACTCCCACTGTGTCGTGCCTGTTGGGTATTTCTACTCGTGATGGTGGAGTCCAAGAGTGCATCGCCTGCACGCAGATCAATCGCTCTGAATTTCGTGCACTGTTGCATTGCGCAAGGTGGAAAATCCGGGGATCCCTACGGCTACGGCTACGGTCGATACGACCGAGGCGAGCTTTCTGCGCTCCCCCTGACTCCCTTGGATGGTTCAATGTCCCTCTTTAGATACGGGAGCTTCAAACTCTTTAACACTCACGGTGTCGAGGCTATGACAGTTTCGGCGGCGCGGATGAGATGTCTGGACGCGAGTCTGGACCCAACGCCTGTGGCGGTCGCGTCACTGGTTGAGTGGAGCCTTTTTTGGGTGTCTTGATTGCGGGCATCAGCCTGAAAGAGCCTGAGACTCACTTCGCCTCGAAGAGCCAGCCCAGGTCCGGGCCAAAGGAAGACTCCCCGCAAAGCCTGAAGAAGGAGCTCAGCATGCTTCCAACCATACAGGCCGGATCGTCGATCGACCAGCAAGTGCTAGAGGCTAGAGGTAGGACAGGTCTTTAAAGAAGCCAACAACTTATGAACTATCACGCGTTTGTGCATTGGGCCTTCGATGCCAGTCCGTGTCCTGCCGGACACCCAAGTGCGACCGCAATGCGACGTGTGCCAGCGCCTCGCAGAGGCACTGTCCCAGTGGCCACCAGCAATGCTCTGCTGGCCGTGCTGTTGTGGCTCCCTGCAGGTCTCTGCAGACTCCGTGCTCCAGCTGGCTTTTGCCACTTCTCGTGTCCAATCTGCCGGGCAGGGTCTCATAGCTTGGAGGTATGGGTGTTGTAGCGACTACATGCTCCTGATGCTCACCGACGTGACCGGATGGCTCCACGAGCAGAACATTCCCTACTTCATCACCTATGGAACTTTGCTGGGTGCACCGCAGTCTAGCTGCTGCTAGGTTTGCAAAGAGTCCTAGAGTCCCGACGTCAGAGGTGCAGTGCGCGAAGAAGATATCTTGCCTTGGACCCAGGCATCGGCTTGTCGTGAGATGACATGTGCGCTGCCCCACTGCCCCACCCCCCACTGCCTGCAGGACATGGACATCGTTGTAGACCGGCGATATTGGCCCCAACTCCAGCGGGGTCTGGAGGCTTGTGGAGACAGCTGCAGCGCCCGAACGCACCATGACTCATCATGGCTCCATGGCCCAGGCTGCAGAGTTTTTCGGTGGAAGACGCTACCTCTTCGGAGTGGATCAGTGGGAGGCCACTGTCATGAGTGTCATGTCTGTGAACTGAGCTTCCTCTCGCAGACACGGTGAAGGAAAAAGTCTCCAGAGTTTGCGCCGATTGGGAGGGTTTTGCCTCCTCCATCATCGGTGGGCTTGATGCTCGGCAGATACCTCACTGTGACTCTACACTCTCCGCTCAAAGCTCGCAGGCAAGAAGGTGATCGGTTCAGTCGGCCCGCAGACTTCCATTTGGATGCCCGTCTCTCATTGGGAGATGCAGCAGACACAATTGGACTTGTGGCTTGCTGAGTGTCGTTTACGATGCTCGAAGCACAGGGTATTCTGCAGTAACAGTATGGCAGTTGCCTTTCATTCCCAAGGTGTATGCAAGCGATTGGTGGCAAATCACTGACCTTCACCTCGTCGATTGCGTCGTGAGCTGGGATACAGACTTCGCAGAATCACATCAGGGTTTTGTGCAAAGCTATCGCTTGAATTGTATTCAGGTTGAACCTCTCGGCGTCAAGCATCTCCAGATTCGCGGGCGCAACTTTTCGGCGCCTGCGCGACCGAGAGCGTCTGAAGCTCACACTGGGACGTGCATTGCTCCACGAATTGGATGCCTCAAGTCTTAAACGAGGTGTGTGGAGAAACTGTACGGATCGGCGCGCCGCCACTGTGCCACTAGTCTAGGTGCAACATGTCCAGCGCATTTTGCAACGGCAGGAATGGCGAATTCCGAAGAAAGCTCTGGCAGGCGTGAACTGAGCGCCTGAGTGTAAGGGCATTCGAAACAAATTGTTTAATGCATGCTTTAGCAGTTTAGCAGATGTGACAATTGCATCGATCCGCTCTCAATTGAGAGTTTTTGGTCTCTGTAGGAATCAGGAGGGCCTCGAGGAACTGAGCTGCGCAGCGAGATCTCAGCAGCTTGAAACGGGTCCCAGCCAGCCGACAGCGCAAGGGGGAGATCTACCAAATTGCCGAGAGTTGCATTGCCTTGCAGCATATTTGTGCTGCAGCTGATGGGTCACTTATGAAGACGCGCCGCGCATCTTTCGTGCCCGGTGATGCGCCTGCTTAGACCGGGCCGGAGCTGCAAAGGCGGAGCCAGCGACTGCGAGTTGCTTCGAAGGCTTGAAGTGCTTTGCCTGAGTACCCTTCAAAGGTGCCTTGCTAGCAACGGCCGGAGCCATCTTGCTTTCGCATCCGCACGGCACCCAGCACATTCACAATCCGGACCATCTGGTGCGGAGCAAAACCTGAAACGCGCCGAGGTCTTCTGACGAACGAGTTCTGCACTCGACTCACACCAGAGATGCTTGGTGCCAAGTACCCGTTAAGATCATGCGAAATGTTGAAGCATGTCGAAGTGAGCAAGCTGAGAGGCCATGGCTTTGACGTATCCTCCGATGGCACAGGAACATGCCCGGGCCTCGGATCTGCCACGTGCTGTGCAAAGACAGCACGTTGATTTGACGCTTTGGTCGCTATGACTATTGAGGCAGTTCCTTCCATGCTAGGCCGTGGAAGAGGCTCTTCAACTGTACCGCTGTTTGGGACGGAGTGCTTTGAAGTGTGCTTGAAGCAGCTGCTGCCAGGGATTGAGCCGTTTTTTAGCTCCAAGTCTTCCACCCCAAGGCAGGCGAGGAACTGGTTTCGGCATTTGGCCCTTGACTAATGCTGACGGGCCTCGCGAAGGGGTGGAAAGCTTCTTAATGCTAGGAACATTTGAGTCTCTCTTGCAGGCAATTTCGCCGCACCGGCTCCACACCTTGCAGAGCTCAGGCTGAGCCAGCCGATGCCTAACGTCGCCTTTGGAACACGTGGTGGCCCTCCTGTGAAGCTCTGATCAGGTCCGGTCTACTGCAAGGCCTCGAGCGCGTTGGGCCCGCTCTTTGGCACGCTCTTCAAGGGAAGTCTTCCTCCCTACAGATCGCACGCTCAAGCAGAGATCAAGTTGAAACCAGGTTCACATCCCAAATGCCTTGGTGGCCATTTCCGTACTTGCTGCTTCTTGATCATCGCCGTCGTTTCCTGTGCACTCGCATTTGTCGGCTGGCTCTTCGAGAGGGCTCAACAAGGCATTTTTGTTTGCCAGCCTGTCTGGGTTTTTCATTCAAGCAGTAACTTGACACATCGTCGAACACTAAGTTCGAGTCCGAGTACTGGCTTTCAGTTACCCTGCTTGCGAGATGGATCAGCAAAAATTGCAGCATGCCCTATGCCAAAGACATCTCAAGACTGAGGCTCCACAGCCGGAATTCTGCTCGGACTTTGCATCGGGCTTGCTGCAGCTTCCAGTGCGAAGGCACCGCTTTGCTGCGCGAAGCGTGCCCGTGTCGTGCGCGCGCACCTAACAGGCCGCTGCCGTTGCAGCCAGGCCGTCTGCGAATCCAAGGGTCCAGAAATGCGTGTCGATAGACCTCAGCCGGAGGACCCTCCCGTAGCCATTTCTGATAGTAACCGAAATCGCACGAAATCGCAGCCTCTTTCACAAGTCGGGAGGCCTCACCTTGGGATTCGCCTGGCGACCAAGATGAAGACTTGTTTTTCTATACCAGTGGGACCCTCGAAATGGCATGGCTGGGCTATGCTGGGCTGTGGCAGCGCAAGCAGCGACAGGACTGGGCCATCCTGATGATGATCTCAGCCTTGCCACTAGCCAGACCCCCGGATCCAGATATGCCGAGGTGCCAGGTCGAGAAGGGCAGGAGACATGACGATTTGCTGCAGGTGGAACTTCGTGGAGGGGTTCCAGTTGGTCTTTGGATGGGATTGGCTGTGCCGCAGGCCGTGCGGCTAGCCAGTGGACTGAAGTCGCCTCCCAAACCGATCAAGTCCTTGAGGTGATGTTGCTGTGTATTCTGGGCAACATGATTCCAATCCCGCTGATACTTGCAGCGCTGAGGACATTGGGCCGTTGTTTTGTCCAAAAGAAGCTGGATGCCTGCAAGGATTGAGCAGATTAAGCAGTTGCTGTCTCCGCTGCTGAAACGTGCAGCGCAGTCGCCTGGCGTGAAAGCAGAGCTACGCCTTCCAGCATCTGAGTATAGGGCGTTAAGTTCAGGAAGACGGAGCCAATCGGAGCCCATGACCGATGGGTTGGTGTTGCAGCGTGCAGCCCTTACTTCGGCAGAGCTTCCGGGCTCGGGCTCTGCTTGTAAATCGCTTAGTCGCGTGAGGTTCGTCGGTGTCCCTCTGCCTGGGACGGGAGCCTGGACCGGCGCCATGGCCTGGGTCTCAGGGGTTTTTTGGGGGGCGCACGGGCGCGCGTGCGCGCGGGCGATTCTGTGGCGGGGCGTCAATGGCTGTTTGAGGGAATTAACTTGCATCACAGGTCTCTTCCCGACCTGGTAGTTTGTTGGAGGTTGCAATAGAGGCTTGCAGGTTCCTCCGTCAGGTCCCCTCTGCTTCCCACAATTTCCTGCATCTTCCCTTTTTGAGGTGGCCTACCTGCTAGGGATGGACCTCTGGGAGGCTTCGAACTTTGCTTCTATGGTCCACTATGATCGGTTTTGTTGAGAAGACCGGAGGCAATCACGTCGGCACGAAACTCAGAGACGTGAAGCGGATGTCGAGAGCGGGAGCTGGCCACCAGTCGATGCTCAGTCGATGCTGTCGCTTAGACAGGTCCTGGCTGGAGTTGTGGTGGCTGCCTGCATCATGGCGCCTCTTCCTCGGAGCGGGGTGATTTCATGCCCCCCCCTTGCCAAGTCTGAGCAGAGGTCCCTAACCCTGGCCGGCTGGTTTGGCTGCGCTTTCGTCGTGCTGCCGGCGATATCAGTCCTCAGTCCTTGCAGAGCCATCTGGAACGACTTGAACATCCTGCATGCACTGAGCATGTTGGCCAGGTGATGCTTGGAATTGTTGCCTTGGCCAGCAGATGGCTGCAAATGCGGAAGTCGTGATGTCCATGCGACTCTTCGGACCTGCAGTGCTTTGTCAAAGTCATCAGCTGGCTAGCCGCATTCCGCACTCCTGAATGTCACGCAGCAGCGACAACATGAGAACATGTCTGGCATTGGATGAGCATTAGAGCATGTCGAGCCTTGGACCAGTGTGCAAAGAGCTCCTGGGCACAGCGACGACACACTGGGTGAAGCCGCACTGCTCGTCATAAAATGACAGTGCTTTACTGGGTCTATGAGCTGTGCGAAGCTGCGCGAACACCTGCTTTCTTATGACGGTACTGCCTTGCACTAGGGAGACCTCCCTCTGCTCAAGCCAGACAGCGACGCGCCAGGACATCATGGTCAGAACAAGCTTGCCCGTGGACGGCTCTCGTGCATCGCACGTGCTTACCAATAGGCCAAGGTCATGCTACGGTTGCCTTGTCCTCTCAACATGCAACATCCTCAGTGCCACCTAGTCCTGTGATCTGATACTGATAATCTTCTTGGCCATGCGTCATGCCGGTTCGTCGAAAGCCCGCCACTTAGTACTGCAGAACCCCTGGTCCTAGCCGCAGACACTGCCGCGGGTCGCCAGCTGCACCGGGGTGCTCCGGCCTCGCTCCCCGCTCCCCTCAAGCATCGATCGGGGCGCCGGGGGGGGGCGGGGGATGCTTGATGAGTGTATACAGGGCGCTGATTCGGAATCTTGGTGAGCGTTCATCAAGCGCTCCTGCATTTCGGGTTTAGGTCAGCTGCCGATCACCATGGCAGATCGATGCAAGAGGCTCTCGCCGTGTGATCCATTAAGACAAGAGCTCTTTTGCCGGTCCCGGCCCAGGCCCCGGAGGCCGCTTCGGCAGGCAGGGCGAGCTGTGGAGATGCGGCAAAGTCGGACCGTCGGACCGTCGGACCGTCGGACCGGACCGCCTTGTGAGCGCGGCAGGCGTCATCTGGCGCTCGTCTGTGTCATCCCCTGAGCTTCGTCAGTCAGATCCGAGGAGACCCGGGACCCGTCGAGGCTTGAGATCACAGGTTCAGAGCCTCTCTTACTTGAGAAGACCACGCCCACCTCCAGAACACAAGGTCTGTGTTCTGGTTGACGATGCTCAAATTAAACCATCTGCGTCGAAGCTCACCTCCCAGGCTCAGAATATGCACTCAGGGAGGGCGCTTAGGCCTTACCAGGTCCTTATTATGGGCATTAAGGACCCCTACCCCCCTCCCCCTTAGCCCTTCAAGGATCCTGATGACTAAAGGATCCCCAGCTTGTCAATCCATTTCCAGTACTCCGGAAGAACAGCTCCACAAAACTTCCTGTGCACCATGTCCAGTTACAGAACATTCCAGAGCTTCGTGGAGCAAGCAGGAATATCTTGGAAGCAAGCCTTCTCGCTGCCCCACTGCTAAGGCCTTTGCATGGTGTCTTGCGCAGTCGCCGAACGGCCCTGACGGCCTTTGTCGACAAGCCATCTTCCAAGTACTAGTCCTGGACTACCTTGTTGCTGCGCATGCAATTGGTGTATGACTGAGGGACTCTGCGCCGTCGATGCCGACGAAGACGACATTAGGACTGCCATAATGGCCATGTATGGCCATCATGTAAGCAGCATCTCTTGGAGTAGGTCGTGTACCCGACTCAAACTGTGCTTGTCCTGAAAGCAAATTCAGGTTTTGCAGTTCTCCGGAGCAGCTGCTTGTGTGAAGGAGGAGTGTCCTGGATTCTAGAAGCGGTGAGGCGAAGGTACCCGCAGCTTCTTCGTGTTCTGCTGATAAACTGATCGGTAATGCTTGGGGATCTTGGGCACTGGGATGCTTCTTGCAGGCGACCGTGCCGTACACCTCGAGGGCCGAGGATGCCTGGGTCCGGTCCGCATGTGCCTGAGCTGTTCTGGGCGACGTGAGGATCGGCCGGATCGGGCTCGGCTGCCCAGCGCGGGCCAGGCCCCCAGCGAAGACTGACGCATGAGGCCGTGGCTCAGCAAAATGTTCGCAAGTGGCATGCGACATCATGTGACTGTCATTTGGCTTTGCCCCGAAGACCGCCCAAGCCCCAAAGTTTTGTGGACAGCTTACGCCAGTGGGAGAAGTTTGTGATGCGTCGGCCTGCTGTTAAGGGCACACTTGGCAACTGGCGCCATGACGGGGTTGTAATGCACGGAGAACGTGAAGCATGATATCCGACTAGGAACCTGAATGGGCCTCTCGGTCCGAACTCGTTCTCTGAGGCCCTGAGCCATCGGCCTCCCGAGGTCACAGCACCGGCACTCGATCTGAATGTTTATTTCTCTCTGCTTCCTACTTCCTGCCGGTTATGCAGGTTTTGCAGAGAGGCACCGGGAGCTGCGCACTCCTGTTGTGGTCGAGGAGTTCTGGAGAGAGATGCAGTGATTCAGAGAACTATCAGCACTGCTGTCGAGATCTTTTCTCTGACGCCTCAAGGACATCATAGCTGGAGCGCTCGTCGGCGCAGTCACAGGAGCTGTGGCGGGTGCAGGCAGCGGAGCTGCTCTAGGCGGTTCCGGTGGCAACGGCCTTGCCTGGGACTCGGGACCGGCCCGGACCGGCCCGGATGACCGGATGACGATCGCATTCCCACGATTCGGTGCGGCTCTTGCAAAGGCCGGGGCTGCTGGAGGCGCGGCCTCGGGAGCCGCCCTGGGCCTCACCAGTGGCGCCGTGGCCGGGGCGGCGCTGACCACGGTGAATCCCGACGAACCGAGCTCAGTGGGCGGCGCATTCGTCTTCTCGAACTGTGGGTGCACCTGCCACTGAGGTCGCTGCAGCAGGCGTTGGAGCGGCAGGCCTCCTTACGCATCTTACGCACTTTGACGCCTGTGCATTCTGTGGGGATTCGAATTTTCTTTCGTGTCTTCTCGAGGCGTGGGCGCAGCTGCAGGTGTAGGTGCAGTTCTCAACCGAGCGCCGTGCTCAGCTCGTGACCGCAGACCCAAAGCCAGGTGCCAGAGAGTCCTCGATCTCAGGCCCAAGGAATGCAGCAAGAGCCTTACGGCAGGTGGCCAGATGCCAGATTGGTCGCGCCCCTAGATCATGTAAATGGCGTCAGCAGTACTGATCATGTAGAGATGGTACAGTGTAAAAGCCAAGGGTGCATGAAATTTCGCTACATGCCGCAGACTTGAGGCCCCGCGGTACATGGACGAAGCTCCTCTACGAGACCGATGGGCGAGACCCTCTGGGATCCCACAGGCACAGCACGGGACTGCACGGTCTCCGAGTGCGAGAGGCAGTGAGGACCAGGAAGGCTTGCCCAATCTGTTGCTGTCTTCTCGGCTGTAGCTCTCCTTGCCCTATCCTGCCGTGCGGCTGGTGTGCCTGAAGCGACCTTCACGGGACCACCCCTGACTACAAACGCCGGCCCAGATGCATGCCGACAATCTGAGAATGTGTTCTCCATTTGGAAGTTCATTGCGTCCTGTGCAGCATAGATTGAACTTAGCACCATGAGCCCACCGAGTTAAACCACTAGCGCCAAGCTGCTTACATGTCGCTTCCCTTGAGAGGCTCAAGCTGAGGAGCTACGGCCGGAGGCGCAGGCAAAAGACAACAGCAAGCGAGACTGTAGCGATTGTGTGCCTTCTACATGTTTCTGCATGTGGAGGATCCAATGTTGTATCAACGAATGTGCACAACAGGCCCCGCCGTCAGCCCCATTGAATGTCTCTGGAAGCGCGCCCCCAAACGCAGGACTACTGTTATTGGCATCATGTCTTCCGCTCATGCAGTGCAATCCTAGCAGGAGCAGCTCCGCGCGAGGCTTCAGAACGTGGTGACAGCCAACGTTGCTTCCTGAGCCTATCCGTCAACACGGTTGCAGTTTCTGCTCATCTCGATGCGTTTACTTCGCGAATTGTGCCGGCACGGGCAAGCGAGGTGCTGTGGTCGAGCCAGAAGAGCACGAAAGCCGTGTAGGCCCCGGCTGGGGAGTGGGCGACCACAGCCAGGCAACAAGCTTCGGAGCTACTGCGTACGCAGAGTACTGCTTGCGACTCCCATGATTCCACCGTCCCAGTTTGGTGATTGGATCAGACCGCTGCAGCGCTTGACATGCTCGTGCCAGCTAGGTCTGTAGCGGACTGTTTTGTTTCGCAACTTTCGTGAGCTTGTCAAACGCCAAGTAATTGGCCAGTCGCATGAGCTGTTTCCGATTCGCACCACAACGGAAGATGTCGTTGAGGAATAGGGTTGCGCCTGGAAGCACAGCTTAGAGATAAGCATTTGCTGAGACTCCAAGGCGGACCGGAGCACCCGAGCGATCCTCACCAGGCCTAAGCGAGTCGGAACTGCGAAGCCGTGCTCTCTTGCACACTCTGCAGGAGATGTCTGTCTCCAAGCAGAAGCGCTGGAAAAGAGCCAGCCACGAGCTCAGTGCATCCACTTTGGACAGCTCGTTGCGCCGTGTGCGACGACGTCGGGCGACAAGATTGCAACACAGATCTCAGCAAAGGACATGCTGAACCCCGTCCCTGTGACCCGAGTAGGTCATGAGGTGCAAGAAGCGTAACTGCGTAACCGACTGCAGCCAGGCCTGCAGCGAGCGAATGCCATGCTGTCTGCAGAGATCGAAGCCCGAAGCGGAGAGGCGCCACAAAAGCGAATCAAAGTGATGAGGGCTCTGCAATGCCTGGAAGGTCGTGGCCAAAGGCCTGGACACCCTTGGAGCACTGCTTTCAAAGCTCCGCCAGCTTCAGGACCCCGGGCCCGGGTCGGCAATGATTTTTCAAGACCGGCCTAGAGCAAAGACAGGCTGCCAGCGAGGTTGCCATCGCGCAGGCAGTCTCCGGGCAGAGCCACTTGGCCCGGGAATCTCTCTCTCTGATCTCTCTGAGGCTACGGAGCAGACCGTGCAAAGGGCCAGGCCGGAACCCGGAAGTGACGAGAGTCGAGGGCATGGCGGGAGAGCAGCCCCTCGTCGCCTCCAGGAGCCTCGGCTCGAAGGCGCGCGCGGAGCGCGAGCGCGCAGAGCGTGGAGACGACGAGACTTGACTGAGACTTGAAACCGTCGGACCGACTACCCCCGGTGCAGTGTCATCGAATGGTGCATTCAATGGGGAAGGGCGGCGTGCTTCGTTTCAAAAGCCGAGCCATGCTTGCAGATGGTGTTGGCATGCGGATCGGATGCTTTTTGAGATGATTCGCTGGCTTCTCTCAGGCTCCAAGAATACAAGCAGGCAGCACCAGGGTCAGCCTTGCCTTTCACTCGAGCAACTGCAGACCACTTGCGAAGCCTTCCCTTTGACTACAGCAGCCTCGCGAAGACTCTGTTGCACAAGATCGCCCGCCAAAGTCGTTACTCAGCATCAGCTTTTCACGCCCTGTCTTACTTCGTTTAGCCTAGCCACCTCAGGCATGTCCCACTTCACCAGCTGCAGCCCTCAAAGTCCCAGAGCGAAGCAGCGCATCCATGATGTTAAAGTCTGGGCTATGCCAGTAATGTCAAGCTTCAGACATTCGTCAGCGATGGTCTTGAAACGAAGCAGCGTGCGGCGTTGACAAGGCGGCAGCAAGAGGGCAGATTCCACAATTTGCGGTCCCACAACAATTCCTCTGACCTCCCGCGCATTGCATCGGTAGGAGATCTATGGGGATGGATACAATACGAGCGATCTATTGCGGATGTCAATAGATGCTGGGATCCCTCTCGTCAGCAATGCAGTCATCGAGACGGTTGATTCTTTTTCTTCGGAGCGTCAGCACGGGGTCTCTTTGTGGCTGTTGTGGTTAAGCCCAGTCTATGGCGTTCATTCGGGTTCATAGCTGCCTGACACATCGTTTCGCCGTGCGAGGCTGATCGCCACTCCAGCGATGGCAGCATGGTTGCCGCTGCCTAAAGCAGAGGGTGTGGCGCGCGGGGGCTATCCGAGTGACTTTGGAAGTCTCGAGGCTGGTGGTGGGCGTGGTCGTCGCGGTCGGCTTGGTGATTTCTTCAGCATTCAGCTTTTGGCTGGCGTTGAGGCTTGGCATTGCTTGTCTCCTGCTGTGGCGCCCAAGCGGTGGTCCAAGATATTTCAGGCAACCAGATTCCTTGGAGGAGCTGGGCGCTTGAGCCTAAGCTCTGCATGTGTGAAATTGCAAGGCTGGAAAGTCTTGAGCCTGTATGTGTCTGAGGTGAAGCCCACCTATCCAAGAAATGCGTTGCCAGAGGACAAGATCCAGGCCGACTGGCTGCGGCCATGTGCGGCCCGTGCGGGAAGCCTTCGCAGCATTACACCAAGGGCTGGAAACACATCTTCAAGCCCGAAGAGAACTCTTCGAGTCCATGAGAGTGTTCCTGCTAAACGAGGCATACCAGCAGCTGAAGAACAAGTTGCAGGGCGAGTTCGCAAAAGACCTGCCCGCACATCCCGAACTTTGGGATCGCTTTGGGATTTCGGGAGCTTCCAATGCTGGTTGACTCGAAAGCACCGGCGATCGTAACCTGCCTTCCTTGCTACTGGTAGCTGGTAGCGATAACCAGCTGCCGGAGAGGCGCCGTAACTTGCGGCACTCTAAGTTGCACTTTGAAGACCTTGCGGGCCCCAACATCGCCAGAAAAGACAAAGTACAGCCACCATCTAGAACAGAAGCAGTACAAAAGCCTTTTTCGGGGTCTTTTGGCCCTGACCTTAAATTTATACCTTATGCAGGACATGGCTGGAGATCAATGGGTGTGCAAGCTGCCACCACATGCAAAAGACTTGCTTAAGTGCCCCATTGAGAGCTCTGTCTAGAGTGTCCACCGGTTTCCCAAAGAATCTTGTACAACAGGTACAGGCTTATGCAGCGTGCCATTGGAGATATGTCTCTGTTGCAAAAGATTGATGCAGATGTCATGTGCCCAGCAGTTGAGCACTGCATTCTACAGCAGATGATCAGATCATCAGGACCCGTCGTTGGCTGAACTTAGGCCCGTGGATATTGGAAGCTCTTTTCCAAAGGCATCATTACGTCCAAGTTTTGGAATTCAGCGACTGGGCTTAGATGCAAAGCCAGATTCGCAGGTTTGTGTCTCATGCTGTGCCTCCTTGAGGTGCTGGCCGCCGAGCGAGAACTCTCGCAAGAAATCGAGGCTCTAAAACTCGAGGTTCATCAGCTGAAACACGCGCTTTCGATCCTTGAGGTATAAGACACGCGACATCACGGGACCCACTGGCCTTGTAGCTCAGGCATTGGCCATCGAGCCGCTACAGGATCCACAGGGCATCGTGTCGGAAGTGCGCCTGATCAGGTCTCGCTTTGAGCAGTCTTCAATCATGTACACGCGCTCGCTGAGGCCATGCAGCTCGTTGTCAGATACGGCGACAAAATCTGGGAAAAGTTCCCGGAGCCGCCGGAGAATCCTGGAGGCTTGATGATGTGCATTGACTTTAGGACCTCCGCTTGGGTCGCTTGGGTGTGGAGCGTATATCTTGCTCGGATCTGTTTCTGTTGTCCACAGATCGTGCATGACTGCGTCAGATTTTCTCTTTCTCGACGCAGTCTCACTCCGACAGTTAGTTTTCACACAAGTTGGCTAGGGCTTAGGTAAGTCCTGGGCACAACACGTTCCACTTCCAGCCTGCCGGTGTCAGAAGGGGTTCAGAAGGCAGCCGCAGCAGGACATCTAGCCAGGGGGTGCCAGGAGTGCACGAAGCTTTAGCGCTGGTGCAGTGCGAGCTCCCCACCGTGCTGCAACCATACACCAATGTATAACACTATCCATAGACCGCGAACATTTGCACCACGGCACTTCTGAGGTGCACAGGGGTATGAGATGCCTAGAGCGCTGCACCCTCTACCGTGGCCTTGCCCTCCATCCGCTGTCCCTCGGACCCCTCGCATTCCCTGGATTACCGTCGCTCCCCGCGCTCTTGCTGCGCAAGAGAGCCGCTCCCCTGAGCTTAGCTGGCTCTGCCACGCAATTACGCGGAACTTGGCCAATTCGTTCTGTGGGGATCCTTTAGTCTGGCCCGACTTGTCTCCTTCCTGGTTGGTGAGCAGCTCATTGCGGCAGCGGTCGCAAAGAATTATGGTAACCATACCCTCGAGTGAGTGGGTCTCTGCGAAGCTCGCTTCCGCATTTGGGAAATGATACTCGTGGTAGGATCTGGCAGGTGCTGCAATGGCTGCCGCGGCGAAGGCTGCGAAACCACAGTCCGAGGAGTCTTCCTACACAGTCGGAGTCAGGCCGTGGCTGCAGCTGGGATGCCCAGACCTGGAGTGCCGCCTCCTTTCGCGCCCCCACCAGGGCCCCCGCCAGATACTTTGCAACCTCCAGTTTCTTCTTGGCGGTGCTCAAGTCCCTGATGAGCGAGGCCTCCACAGCAAGGCGGGTCAACTGATGCCTACAAGTGGCGGCAGGACGGCGTAGCGTGGAAAATATATAGGAATCCGACAAGCAACCAGTGGCCACGGGGCATCGACTTTCGTGCAGGATACCGAGGAGGTTGAGATTTCTGTCCACGTCCCAAGTGATGCGGCGAAGGCAGACATCAAGGTGCGCTGCCTCAATTTCTTGCGCTGTGTTTGATGGAATGCGGTTGCGACAACTCTTCCCGTCGAGGTTCAGTTCCAGCCGAAGTCTCTCAAAGCACGCCTCAGCACATTGAGCGGGCTGATACCATAAATGCAGTTTCTTTCCGCAAGTTCAATGCGAGGTCTTGCATTGTGGCAAAACTCTGGTTGAGGGGGGCCTTGCAGCACCATGTTGCCCAGAAGGCCGATTGTTTTGAAGTCCATGCGAGGAACACTGTCTTGGATGCAGCTCCCTTCGCAAGCCTGCTGTCCCGACAAAGGCTGCACTTGGACTTTGAGCAAAGGTGCTCTTGTAGCGCAGACCTCACGTCAGCTTCGCCATACGGTGACCGTAGGAGCCGTAGGACCACGCCAAGGTGACCTTGGAAAAAGCCAACCCGAAGCCTTGGCCTGGTCTCTTTGCGGCAAAGACCTGAGCTGGCCAGATTGATGCTGCGCTCGCCTAGCAGCTAGCAGGAGAACAGGACGCGCTCACGTGCTCTGCTGCAGATTGACGCTGTGAGTTTCGTGTCGTCATCCTACGGTGAACTACGCTGCACATCGCACTCGTCTGCGGTAATGCCACGTTGGCCCGAGCCTGCTGACAAACGGCCTCACTACGCGCGAGCACAGACAGCCCAGGTCTGAGACTCAGACTGCTAGTGACTTGGGAACGTTGAAGGCCGAGTCTATCCGAGTCTACCTGTGCCCGCAGGACGACCTTGAATCGCTTCCGAAATGGTGGCAGTGACGCAAGCAATTGAGCACGAACCACTCTTCGAGTCGTAGCCCGAGAATCCCATGAAACGACTCGTGTTGTTGTGCATGCTATGTTTCCACTCTTGCAGGTTCAATCCGGCTGCACCGGAGTTCAGTCCGTCACAGCCGGGCTGCCAAGCTTTGCTAATGCAGTATGCTCACGAAGACCTAGCACTCGTAAAACTTTTGCATCCTCTTGCCGATAGAGTCAAGACTATGTTAAAGAGCCGCAGTAGTGATACGCAATCCGCTGCGAGAGGTATCCCGTGGATGGCGACTCGACAGGTTCCATGCTGCGCTCGCCTCGGTGCTGTGTAATGCAGAGTGTAACATGAGCTGTGCTCACCTTCTGCCTGAGCAAGCTACGCTGGTAAGCTGCAGGGGGTCTTCCGAGCGGCTGGCGAAGAGGGTCGCATGCAAGAATAATCGTCCGCGAGGAACTTAATGGCCCAAGTGACAGCCAAGCCAGAGTGCCACCGTGTCCATATGCCGGTGTTGTGCTCAGGCCGTTGCCTCAAGACCGTGGAGGCGAGAAGGAAAGTGCGAGTGGGCAGGCAGGCTTCTGACACTGTCCGAGGGTAGCGTGGGATGTCGAAAAGATGTTGTGAACCCTGGGAACCGTAGGAGCCAGAGCCGGAATCGCGAGCTCTGAGCTGCTCTCCACAGCTGCTTCCGCGCAGGGCCCTTGATCACGATCATGAATCATTGCTCCGTGGCGACATTTCCTGTCTCGATACAAGGCCGCTCGGGCCGCCCATCCCAGCGCCGACAGCCAGGCTCTGGAAGAAGGCGCAGCGGGGGAATCCCCGAGCAGCGAAAGTGCGAGAAGTCTAAGTGCTTGGTCGCAGAAGGCCGTGTGCGACTGCACCAGCTTCACCTGCCCTCAGCATGGGTGCGCGCCTTCTAAACTTTGTGTACTGCGTGGAAGACTGTCGTCAAGTCCTCGTCATTTAAGGTGGAAAGCTAGGGCCTTGCCGCCGTGGCAGTGAGGAGGCTCGGCCCATTTACAGGAGATGCTGGCTGGGCAGAGCGGGCCAGTAAATTACCGGCAGGTCTCCACACTGGTCATAAAAAACCTGGCGCTAGACTTCCGCAAGGACCTGTGTTCGGCATGCCACCACGAAGGTTCACCAGTTATATGCAAGTGCGAGTATGGTGATGTTCAATTTGTGCCAGCCTGCCAGTTTTACTGCTACAGGCCATAGCAAGGTGCAGAAGGAACCTCCAACACAACATGCCACGCCTGGTGGGCTTCTTTCTGCCGTATTGTTATTGTTCGTTGTTCTCCTCGACAGAGACATGGCACTCCGCTGGGACATCAGGAGGATGTGGAAGTATTTCTGGAAAGCATGTGCGTGGGAGCTGCCGAGGCACAGGGCGACAAGTCTCAGCATGCCCTGGGCACAAGCACCTCCATTGCCTAATCCAAGCTTCCAGGTTGACATGCATGTCGACCCCGCCAGTGGATCCTTTCGAGGCGCGCTTTGCAGGTCACGAGCAGCTGTCCCGACTTTGGGGCTCAAGCAGACAAGATCAGACAAGGGTGGAGGCTTGCTCCCAAATTTGCAGCAATCCTCCGTAAGTTCAAGCCCGTAATCTGGCGGCAACATTTTCATCCAACCTGTAGGCAAGCGCTCGTACCGAACTCGCCAACCTGGCTGGCTGTTTAATCACGTTTTGCATCATTATGCCACTATGCGGATGCAGGCTTACACGGCTCCAGTCGGATCCATGCATTCTTTCATACTGTCGGAAGAGACACAATATCGAAGCAACGAATCTAGCAGCAGTGTTTACTCTCGTGAATGTCAAGCATTTCAGCTGCGCCCCTGAGCGTGGCTGCTGATGGGTGACAGCTGCCCGCAAGACGAAGATTGAAATCGAGATGTGTCTGCTGATCGCCGCTGCACAACATGCTCTGACCTGACCGATGCAGAACCATGACATGCAGAACCCAGAGGGTCACGCATGCGATCCGTAATCCCGCGCTTCCAGATCTCTGAGCTCATCTGCTTGCTGTTTGTGACAGGCACGGCGTTCGTCCGATATGCTTCCCCTGCAAAGGCACCTGGGGCTCTCTGGGAGCTAAGTCGGGTGAGCACCCCACTTCCAGCAGGTTCTTTGCTGTTTCATAGCGTATGAAGGCTTCTGAACATTTTCTCACGTGGCAGGCACGGGAGGCTTTGCAGAAGCTTGGGCCTTCTCCAGACATTGGTGGTAGAAAGGCAGCCCCTGTGCGAATAATTTATCGGCCTTTGGTGGCTTGCGCCGATCAGGCGAGAGTCGAGGTTCAGAAGTCCAAGAACCTCTTTGGCCGCAGAAATGCAGGTGGCGAGTTGCCACAGGAGCTTGCAACATCTGTTGCGCTCTCTTCGAACTTGCGCTGATATCGTGATCTCGTTTCGTGCAGGAGCTAACCCTGGTGCAACAAGAGATAGAGCTGTTCCTGCAAGGCTTCGAGACAGAGGCTGTGGGAGCGCTAGCTGGTCTTCAGATTACAGCTTACTTGTAAGTCACCTGCCAGGTTTGCCTCTCGGCTACTTTCGATGCCCATCAGCGCAAGTGACCCACTAAGACTAGCGATTGACATTTACCGCGAGTGGAAGAGCAATCCCCTGTGCCAGCAGGTATGCCCACTCGTTGGCAGAAAGGCACAATCTCGTGCATGCCACAAGACAAAATGAAAGTGGGCAGACGTGCGGCCCCTGAATGCCTGATGAGTGCCTAGCGGCCTGGCGGATGCAGGCCTTGATCTGAGCCTCTGAGTGCAGGTACGTCTACCTTAGCAAGTGCCGGCCGAGCCAAGCGAATGCCGGGAACAGGAAGAAGGCAGCCTTGCTGCTGTGGCCGAATGGCCGAAGCCTTCAACGACTCTGGCGACTCTGGCCCTGTCGAAGGCTTTCTCGATGGATGCTCGTGGTACGTCAGCCGGCCATGTGTTGCCAGAATTGGGAGGGTCTATGCGGTGGGTAGGATACAGTAGGCAAGATATGGCAGACAGACACATCCTCACCCGCACACTGCACGTGTTCGCAGCGATGCGCATGCCAGGCCCCAGCTCGGTGCCGCAGCTGGAGGCATCGAGCTCGCACGCTTCTGCTTGAGGATCGTGCTTGGGGTAAATCTCGACCGCAGACTGCAGGCGCATTATGCGACATGGGCTACGAGGACTCCCTGTGATCCTGTGCCTTTCGACTGACATCATGGACAAAGTGCAAGCAGATGCCAGGCACATAGTCAGAGCTGCTATGTCGGCCCTATGTCTCCTCCAGGCCTCTTGTTCCAAGGCACGAGTGCCTGCGAATTTCTCTCTTTGCACAGTCGCTTCGATGCTGTGGGCCTGCACCGACGTGGCGCTGCAGAGGGCTTCAGCATATTCAGCCTCATAGGGTTCTCCTTATGGTGGGACAGTGTTTTCGTGACAACCGGGGGGCGACAAACCGGGTTTTGCCGAATCCTGCGGCCAGCCACGCATGCTTTCCAGCATTTTCGGGAGGTGGTGGGGAGGTGTGCGCGAGGATGCGAGCGGGGGACACGTGAAGAAATCGCAGATGCGTAACAGAGCACATGCTGTATATACATACATAGGGATTAAAGTAATATACGTATACATACAGCGATCCATCTATCCATCCACCGGTATAAATTTATATATATATATATATATATATATATATATAATGTACCCATACACATACAATAACGTGCTGGGCTCAGGATATACCAAGGTTGAAAGCAGAGTCTTAAAGCCCCTTGAGTACACTACTCGGCTACACCGCGGAAGATGCGAGTAAAGTTATGATGGAAACCGTGAACCCTAAACAAGACCCTCTACAGGCTTCCGGAGCCCTCGAATAGGCAAACCCTAAACCCTAAAAGGAGGTTTTGGTCAGGACTTGGAAAAGGCATGTTTGCTGGCAAGGCCTAAGCTGGAAGCAGAGTTATTGGGTGAGAAGCCCTGCGCCCTAACAGCAGATGCTGGCTTGCAATGTTTTAAACCGTAACGGGAGCTGTTGGATGGGGAGCCGCTGGCAAGCCCTGAACCATCCCGAAGAGGAAACCCTAAAAGGGGGCACAGCAAACCTTGAAGTCGTCCCGAAAATGAGGCCTTAAAGTCGTTCGGAAGATAACCCTGAAGCGAGGAAGGCAGAGAAAACCCCGAAGGTGGGTGGGAAGGCCTAGGCCGCAAGCCCGACAAGCAGATGCTGCCTTGCAAAGCCCAAAGCCACTCCTAAACCTTAAAAGGAGCTGCTGTAGCTGTGAAAGTGCGACTACGCTGGTCTTTGCATTAAGCAAGCGGGACTGTGCGCCTCAGAAGATGCAAAGGGTGGCAACAGGAGGCGGAAGGAGTCGAGGAACCAGAGTGATGTCTCGAAGCGGAAAGTCTGCAGAGTCTGCAGGGTTGGAGTTGGGCACGCCGGTCCTGGGGCCGGAACTGGTGAGAGTCTCGGTCCTGTGAGGCCAAGCAAACCCGAGTCACCGCTCAAGAATCCCTTGAAACACCAGCCAAAGCCAAGGCAGGGTCCGAGGACGCCATGCCAGGGGCCCAGGGGCCTTTCTTTGGACAAGCACTTGCAGACTAAGAGCTTTCCAGGTTCATGCTTCCCAGCGCAGCAGTACCACTTCTTCCTCCTGGAATTGATCCTGCGATTGGTCTACCAGGGCGCGGGCCAGATGAAGCCTGGCGGCGTGTGAAGCAGTTTTCAGATGGCCTTTGAAGGGTGACGCTGCCACCAGTGTGGCCTGCCGCTGGCATGGTGTCCGGGACCCCACAAGTCCGGCAGGGAAAAGCGCTCCTCGTGTGCTTCTCTCAAGCCGCAAGCCGAAGGCCGTTGCGAGCCTCACCGAGGTTAGGGACTGAGCCTCCGCCTGGCCTCGGCCTGGAGCTACAAGGCACGCCTTAAACTCGGTCGAAGGCAGTAGCCCATCTTCCCTCGACGTTTGCGAGGTCTTGCAGAGCTTGCTGAAGGACTTTGCAGAGACCTGGTGGATCCAGAGGCTGACTTCTGAGCAGTGTCACCTCCTCTGTGGAACAGACGGAATGCTAGGCACTAGTTCCCCAAGGGCTTAGCCTCACGTATGCACAGGAGTTGCACTTGGATTTCAAGCACGCCTGTCCTCCGTCTGATTCGGCAATGTCCACGGAGGCTGGACATTTGCAAGTCAAGCTGCTGGATCAAGCTCGAGCTGCGGGATTCTGCCAGGACAGAAGCTCCCAGCGAAGTGACGACACCGATCACTGCTGAGGAGTCAGCAGCGCGGGCCGTGAGCTTTTTCGTCCTTTCAAAGTCATGTCCTATCATGGGAAAGTGCTGGTAGTACACACTGCAAAGCAAGGCTCGTATGTTTCGACACAGCCACCTGCTACAAGGGGACTTTGCCATGCCTTAGGTGTCAGAGACAGTGAGAGATGTGTATTTCACAACAGCAAGAAAGCTTTACGCCAGATGCAGTGAGATGGATAATCTTGCTTCTCAGCTCTTCGCCGAGACTAGCTGTCTATGCATGCTCGTTTTGTTTGTAAAACACAAAGGCCAAATTGTCCAAGCCATGCAGTGCATACCGCTATCACGCCCGTTCAAAATTGCCACATGCACTTAGATGCATCTTGAACCCTAACTTCGTCTCATGATACCCCTGGCACGTTGGCCGCGACAATTTGCTGAAACACACACCTGCGGTGTGTTGTAACTTGCAAATTTGAAGCCAGACTTGCAAAAGTTGGGCCGAATGCTGTGAGAGCACTGTCGAGTACAGAGCTCCATCCTGGTTCTGTGCCCAAGCCCGTATTGCATGGACCTTCATGCCTCACCCCCGTGACTCATTGACCCTCCTCTCCTCGTTTGCACCGTCTTCGAAAGTGAGACGCGGCATCTGCCTGGTGCAGGTTTTGAGGCCAAGGCAGCAGTGTAGCACAGCACGAAGGAGCATACAGCCGTGACAAGATTGCTGCTGCTGGCTGTCAATGTAGCAGTTTCAGGGCGCCCAAGGAGCCCTGGCTCCACATGCACTTCAGGTGGCATCCGACCGAAATCTATCGAGTTTTCAAAAGCAGACTTTTGAAGAAGTCGGACGCTGGAGCTGTGCATGTGCGAAATTCCTTTGTAAGACGCGGCTTGTAAAGCCTCTTCAGCTACTGCATTGAGAGGAACGGCTTCGCCTCAGTGTGATCTGAGGAGGTGGCTACTCGCACTGCGCGTCAGCTTTTTCCGGGGAGCTGCCTCGAGAAACTCACGGGGAGACGTGCAGCAAATGGGAGCCACGACTCTGTGGGGTTCTCTGCACGGCGTTGAAATCCATGCACTGCATGGTTCGACATTCATCCAGCTTTGATGCTTCAGCTCATGACCGCAGCATCTGATAGCGCTCATTTACGCAACCCCGCGTCGACCAAGTTCATAATCGTGAAGTCGTGAAGCTAAGCAGCTCGGCCAGCGAGGCGGGGACATGGGGCACTGTTGGGCTAAAAAGCTCTGCGAGTTGAGTCGACGAGGCCTGCTATGCAAGTAAGCTTACTTGTTTGGCTGCTGCCTTCACTAGGAGGAGCGCCGCTCGGCACTTCGCGCAGGGGCAAGATTCACGAATTTCGGGGCTGCTCTGAGGATGCCACTGGATTCAGCGACAGCATCTCAAGCAAAGCAACGCAAGTGAGCGTCTCAGTGATGCTTTGCAGTGATCGATGGAGGGCTCAAAGTTGACCGAAGGCTCTGCTCTCAGCACGCTTCCCGAGTCCGACGGGTCCCTGCGGTCCGAGTCCCCAGAGTGGGTGGGGGTTCACTGCCTCGCGAAGCCTCGACCTTCGGCCTCCAAGGCTCCCTGAGGCCACTGTGGCCAACATGGCCAACATCTCGCAGCGTGCCGGCTGATCTTGGATACTTCTGCTTCTGCCGCTCTGTCGCCGCCAGTTGCCATCATATAGAAACGGTGATGAGCCAACTTGCCGGAACTCGTACGCTCATCAGCCGACTTATTTACCGCCAGGTCTACCTGGCGGTGCATCAGCGCCGGGCAACTCTTTCAGGCCTCGTACCAGGGGCGCCGAGGGCAGTGCCAGTGCGCGTTGCCTTGACAGGTCTATTCCAGCTCAAGCCCACGCCTGCCGACAGCGGAAGGTGCAGAGATGTGCTAAGGTTAGAGTCTGGCTTTTTGCACAGTGGTGCTCTCCAGCTTCAGGAGGCGCATGTTTCGCTGGCTTCACCAAATTCTTCTGGGCAGCGGTGCTTGCCTTGTGCCGCACCTGCACTGGTAAGAGAAGCAGAATGCAGGGCCACCGTGGGCATCTCCTATTTCAGAAGTCGTGTCACTTCACGTCGCATAGCTGGAGGGAAGAGGGCGAGCCGGGATGTTCGGGGGATGGGGTGTGAAGGGCAGCTCCATGAAGGCATCGGAAGGGGGGGCTCGAGCCGTCGGAAGGTAGGCTGGGAGGAGGTTGATTGCAGGGGAGGGCCAGGGACACCTGTACTTGCTGAGGATCTAACCACCCTGAGCCTGCCACACGCTGTGAACCCAGCAGAGGTTCTCGCTGATCGGGCTTTGTCTGTTCGTTCCAATCATGCTCGAGATCACCAGGCCAGGCTTACGAGAAGAAACCTCACGCACGGCTTGTTTTCCTCCGAGGCGGCGCCCACCAGGGCAGCCACTCGTGCTGTGTGGCATTATCTTCGACTGCTGCCCGTGTGACCCTAAGTAACGACGTTGAAGTAAGGGCTAGCACAAGCAGCTCCATCGGCCATTTTCCATATCGATATCCTTGTGCGGCCCGCTCTGAGGCCAAAGAACTCGGCAGAGCAGCTTGTCACGTCTCCAGCAAGCAAACCTCCATCAGCAAGATGAGCGAAAACAATGTTTCCAGACATGTTGCATCTGGGGCTCATCAGCTTGGTTGTAGAGGGATGATGCGCTGGAGGCTAGAGGTACCGATGACGGTCGCGAGTAGCAAGACTTGGGACCCATGTTCGTTCCGATCATGTTTGCAAGTGCATCGTGTCAGCCGCGCCGGCGTAGAGGCTACCCGAGGGGTGTCACACCCTTGCTGCAGACGGAGTTCGGAGTCGGAACAATTAGAGGCGCTTCAATCCAAGTTTCTTTTCCATGCATGATACAGACACGAACTTGTCTAACTTGACACCCTAAAGTCCTTAATCACGATAGTTGTCGAACAACAGCACCCGCAGTAATAGGAACTGTGGCAACAGTATACGTACTAAAGAATAATGCGCAGTTCAAAGTTAGTGTTGTTGTTGTTGCGGGTGTGATCTGGTCTGCAGAGGACGACGGAGTCGTTGGAGTTTCTGGTGGAACCTTCGAAGTAGTCAGTCTTAAGAGATACGATACTAGAAAACAGGATGGGCATCCACAGTTGTTTGATTGGTTCGGAGTTTAAGATTTAGGGTCGTTTGGGTTAGTATGCCCCGAGTTGGCTATTCTTGTCTGAACCCGTGCGTGCTCCTGAACAGATATCGGCCGGGCGGCCCCTTGTCGCAAACATGTCCTGTGCACGTTCCCCACACCGCCAGCATGCCCCAGGGTGCTCCTCACATATATTTCCCACTCGACCACAACCACCGGCTGAAGCCTGCGGCATACGCTGCAGTGCCTCAGAATTCCTTCGAAAGGTCCGTAAGGACGCTTCTGTACTTGGTCTGTGACTTGGGACGCATGTGACCACTTGTGACAATGGCTCATGGCACAACCTGCAAACCTCCCACGTCTTGTGTGTGGGTCGTAGCAGATCATCCTGGCAGGGAGCCGTTTCCAATTCTCTTATTTGGGCCACCGGTATATGATTATACACATGTGGTTCACGATCGGGAGTGACGCATGTGCGTGAAGAAGCTCACCGGCCGTTCAACAGTGCGTTGTTCATATGCGGCGTCATGCGGCAATCCCACGCTGATGCATGCTCGGATTTGTGCGTGTCTAAGTCAAGGCAGTGCTGACAGCACCGATGAGAGGCTGAGTGGGAAAGCGAGAAGATTCGACTATTGTTGCTTTGTCATGGCTTGCTCTCCTTGATGATGCAGCAGATGATTTGTGCGTGGCTGAGTCCACAATGCTGCCAATCGTGTCGGTCACTGTCTGAAGAGGGGGAACACCTGGGACCTTGGTGCTAGTTGCCGTTGAAGCTTGCCTCCAAGATACCAGCGCACAATTCTCGTTGTTGTTGGTGTCGTGAGGATCCTCACCATCAGCATGAGCAGCACCACCACCCCTCCTAACTGCCCCGCCATCATCACGACCACCGGCATCCCGCTCATGCTTATCACCACCGTCGGCACCTCTGCAACCCCATGGTTCGCCTGGGGTTGAAAGAAAAGCCGTGAAGCCTGTACTTTAGCAGCATTGCAGGCTCAAGGCAGCATCTGAGTATGGATGCACCCTGAGCTTGACAGGTGACACGGCCGTGCTGCTAATGGACATCGCCGCTAACGAGAGCTCGAACAGCGGACAGATGACAACACGTATCCATGCATGACGTCGGTGGGCGGTGTTCCTCCCCCTGGATTGAATCCAACTGTGTGGCCCACAGCCAGTTGTGCTTGCGTCGGTTCTGTGTCTGAGCGGAAGATGTAAGGCTCCTCCCTCCACAAGTGAGGGCTTGTCCATTGAAGAGCTGAAAGAGCAGGTTGGGCTACCGTTCTGTGCTCCTGACTTTGGCGATGTCGCCCGTAGCTTCAAGCGCAGTCAAAATCTTAACACTTTTATCTGCCAGGGAAACCTCGCCTTCAAGCGCGCTGCACTTTTGAAGAGCCACTGCCGTATCTTCTGGGCACCGGCAGCTCAAAGCCACGAGCAGAATAACGGCTCGCCAGGCGAACGACGGCTTCAACGCAGTATCTCAGTGAAGCCAAGTCCTACTACATCCAGGCGCCAAACGCTCTCGGCAAACGTTCCGCCTGCCACCTGATATTTCCAGGCTATCCAGCGAGTGGGGAATGCAAAAGCGAATGCCAGCAATCTCGCGCTGGGGCTCGATCCTCTTCATCCCAGTTGAGAGTGGCAAGTTCTGCTGTAGCAGTCGGATGCAAGGAGGCTGCTTGATTATTGTAATGGGAAGTGTCTCTACTGCAGCCATTGCAATTCAAAATCATCGTGAAGTCCACGCTCCCGATCTTACTCGCTCGGAAACAGCACAGCAGCATGGCGCGCGCAACTCAGATATTGCACGTGGTGGGAGCCATGGAGCGTTTAATTAAGAGTGCAAGGTGTGAAGTCATTGCCGTTGCAGAGCCCCATCAGCCCTTCGTCGCGCAGGACCGGCCGATTATACACAGCAACATTCAGCGTGACTGTTCATCACGGTGGCATCCAAGGAGCTTACTTCCAATCAGCCTGTGATGCAGGCCACCACAGACATGATGTCTGCAGGCTATACCTGCGCTGTGTAGCCACAACAGGTTCTTCAGCCGTATGTGACGATGCTGGTGCGCGACCAAACAATGAGCATCGTGATTTGCTCCACGCAATTCTGCGGTGCACAACCCAGGTGCCCGTCATCGTGAACGCGTCCGGCCCTGTCATGGCAGGGCAAGCACAGGCGGGAACCGGTCTCAGAAGAGTTCATGTCTCGACAAACTCTACTCGCGAGGCGGTTCCTGTGGCCGCCCCCAATCAGGACTACACCGGTTCCTGGGCGTATTCTCCAAACTCTCCCGAGATGGGGCCAATGGAGCCGGGCTCCTGGTGACCCGAGCCACAGACGGCCATTAGCATCTGGAATGGCCAAGGAATGGAAACTTTGGCTATGATCCCTATACCGACATGGCAACCTGGCTGAGGGATCCGACATAGGGAGTGATTATGAGAACGTGATCGTGCAGGCTGGAGGATACGAATTTGGTTCGCTCATGGAGGATGAGGATGCCTGATTACATGGACGAGCAGGCAAACCTCAAGTCTCCATTCTGCACCATGCCGTGAGGAAACGCGCGGACATGCGCGGCGCCGCCGCCGCATGCGCACCGCACAGCCGAAGGCTCGAGAATCCTTATCACTTATCATGCTCGCCGTCGCATAAGTCCCGAAAGCTGGACCTGCTTGCAGCTATTGACGTGCCGCCAGGCACCAGGAATGATTCAAAGCTCTGCCCGCGGCTGTGGAGAGGCCATGCGCCGGGAAGTCGTCCGCACGTTTGCTCCTTCGGCCCAGTAAGGAAAGCTCCTTGCTTTCCAAAGAGCGCTGCGACGATCTTCGTCAGCAGCTGCAGGCCATGACATGCCAAGTTCACCGACACGTTCCGAATTTTCAGCCGTTCCAGGCCGGACATGACGGCCTGTCACTGGCCATGTCTGAGATCTCTGATAAGGTGGCCAGGATGCATGGAAATCTGCAGTCTAAGCTGCGCGATTCCTGTGTCTCAACAATATTACCTCGTAAGACCGCGGCAGCAAGGTGTGGCCATTGTCTCGTGATGCAAATGGATGCCGCGTGGAAGCTTTTCTAATTTGGACCAGAGGGGGCAACACCGTGCCGCTTCGTCTGTTGATGTGAGGACTTTAGGACTTCAAGCATAGAAGCATAGGTGCAGTTGGCCATGGAGAAGTCCAGCAATGGTGTTGCCAAGGCGGGCTTGGGTCCTTGGGTTCTTCCGAGGTGTCTCTTCGGAGTTGGCGATTCCAGGACTTGGCTGCTGAGCTACATGGACATGTGAGGGAGGCTGCTGTTTCCCCTCATGCCAACTACGTGGTCCAGAAGGCGAGGTGGTGCTTCCATGACGAAGGCCCGAAGGCATCGGAGTCGCGCAGGTCATCACTCAGCTGAGTCCAGCGACCTCGGCGTTCATCGCTGAAGAGCTCTTGGGCAACGCCGCTCGATTCGCCGAATCCTCAAGCATCGACAACTCGCCTGAGCACGAGCAAAGTCCGAAACACAATTTATTCTTTACCTTGGCTTCGAGGCCAGGCATCGCTTCGGTTGCCGAATTATGTGTCGCTTGTTGGAGCACTGCTCCTCTCAGGAGCCCTTGCAGCTTCAGCACATGTGCAGCTATCATCTTACTGTGAGCCAGAAGCCGTAGTTGCCGAAGCTGAGGAGGGGACTCTCCGACTGATCGACGAAGTCCTGGAGGATCCCGCGGAGGCATCGTGTCCTCGGCCTCCGCCCATGTCTCATCTTTGGACTTTCGCAGGCTTTGGATCTTTGCCGTCACAACTTCGGACATCATGTGGTTCAGTCCATACTGGAGCACGGAGATGTGAGGCCTGGCAGACATTGCCGTGTCACGTCCTGCCACGTACCTTCCACCTTCCGATCCCTGGCAGGTACAAGGAGCTAATCGCGGAAGTCCTGCGTCACGACCTGCTTGCAAACGCTTCCCATCGCAGTGCCTGTGCCTCAGCTCCGCTTCACGGGACCTCGTGACTGGCCTGTAGGCCCCAAGCCCAAGGCAAGCTATGTCGTGGAGTCCGCTCTGTCACACTGCTCGGAGAAGGAGCGTTCTTGTCAATTCCTGTTTCTGTGATACAATGCAAGGCCTGTGATGCGTGTAGTCCCGAAGAGGTCAGATGCAGGGGCAGTGATAGAGTCTGTTGGATTACTGCCGACGACGTGACACATTTCCTACTTGCTTTGCATTACTTCGTTCGCAGATCATTTCGAGTGCAAGAACTTGCAGTGCAGGGGTTCTGTGACCGAGGCCTTCGCGTTAAGCTTAAGCGTGCGCGTGGATGCGACGGCGATCGTATGCATTAGCCGTCATGCAGCATCAGGCATGTGCCCGCAGCTATAGCATAGACAGGACCAACAAGCTTTGCTGCAGCAGCTGTCTCATCCAAACATGGCCTGAGCCCCAGCCTCTCTGATAGCGCGCACGCAGGACCTCAGGTAAAGAGGCAACACCAAGCAGAGGCTTCAACGAAATCAGCATTGCACATGCGGTGGAAGTACGTGGCGATGGCTCTGACACAATACACGAAGACATGTCATTCTCCAATGTCGTTCACATGGACTGACAGTTGATGCTCGCCGTGTGATGTATCTGCGATCATACTCTGACTATAATATGCATACGTGTATCTTTTGCAGGAAATTTCTTTTGCTTTGGTGCAAAACTCAATGCCCTGCCGCTACCTGCCTTGTCGTGCGAGGTCGCCGAGCTGGCACAAGCCCGCTACGGCTTCTACGTGGCGAAGACTCTGCTGCAGCGCCCTGAAGTGGATGCCGAGGCCTGGTGGTGTGCCAGAGCGGCAGGACTCTAGACTCAAGATAGTCTCAAGATGCTTCCCAGATGCTGGCCCGCAACATTCCGGCAGTGGCTGCCCTGCTCTCAAGCAGTGAACCAACCCTGGAGCTTCGCTGAGCATGCTGAGCTTGGTGCAGCCTTGGTTGAACCAGCAAGTATCCGCGAGTTAAGAGCTATCGTGACGCATTTTGCGCACAAGTGGCTTGACGCACAAGAGTAGCGCCCGTTGTGGCGGCGACGCATATTAGGTGTTTGGCACTCAATAGTGGGCTGGACTCCTGGCCCGTTGTGGCGGCGTCGGCAGTAGTTAAATCGTTCTGGTGTGTCTGCTTACGTGGCGTTTTGCCCTGCAGCTCGTCAGACGCCAATCCTTTCGGTTCACAGTCGCATGTCTTCTTGTACAGCCTTGAAGGCATCAGGTTTGGCAGATCTTGCTTGGGGGCTGTCAGCCTGCATCACTCTCAATTGTCACTATCAACCTACCTCATCGGACATGACAGTACTCTGCGCCAAGCATATGGCGGCAGC